AAATAATAATGTTACCTAATGTAAAATTGTAAATCAATAAATTTTGAATTCGTATAAATACATGAGGTGTTTTTTGACAGTATATTTATTGTGTTATTATTTATTGTGTTTATTAATGAGTAAGTTAAAAAAAAACGTCATTTCGTTTAATCCGGAGAGAGTCCGGTCCCATCTAGTCCGTATTAGCGGGACTCTACTGTAATTGGTTATTGCTAAATTTCAGTTGAACATAAACATCAAAGCCATTTAAAAAAAAGACCATGGAGGAAATCCCTATCCCCCATATCCTTCTCCGTGAGAACACCCATGTATATTAAAGATTGATACGTACAAAATATATCAATTAATACATTTTTCTTTTCACCAAGAAACAAAGAACCATTAATAAATTAAACATATAAAATCTACTGAAAAATATAACACTGAATATTTCTAAATTTGTTAGTTATACTATTTAAGATTAATCTACGGAAATATAATTATCAAACATTCATTACAGCATAATGGGTTATTTTATCATTTACGATTTAAAGTTTTTATATTTATTATGAGTTATAATATATCTTTTAATATTTGAATACATTTTGTCTAATAAAACTATTTTCAATATTTGTTAAACTTCTATTATAAAATATATGCATTTATTAATTATTAATCCAATTTTTTGAAGATAAGAGTAAATTTATATTATTGTGGTTTTAAATTTTACAAAATAATGGACGAATAAATAATATAATTCATTTTAAAAACATAAGTAAAAAGCTCTAATTACTAATAAGTAAAAAGTAAATAATAATTAACAATTTTATTTTTTTTAGTTTTATACTGTCATATTTACATGACAAATAATGTAAATATGTGTTATTTAAGAAAATAAAAAAAACTTTCCTTTTATAAATACGATGGATGATTTTTAGCTAAAGAATTGTAATTAGATGTGCATAGTTATATGTTAATAATATGTGCATGCATACGTTTGTGCGTCTATACTATTTTTAAATTGCTAAGACATAAGTTTTGAAGGGAATTTAAATATTTTATTTGGAAATACGAGTAAGTAAGTACTAAATATGTATACAACAATTATTATTATAACTAAACAATGAATACCTTTATACATTGTATGAAAAAATAATATTCGTAATTTAATAACGTGTTTTGACTTCAAAATATGTAAAACATATTTATACCAAGATAAGCATAATTATGTTTCTTTATTATATTGTTGAAGAAATAAAGATAAATTGCAAAAGAACTACGTTTATTTTTTTTTATATTATTTATAGTTATAATAGTGAAATATAAAATAGTATGGTGTTGATGAAGTATAAAATAAAATTAGTAAATTGTACTCTCATCGTGTGAAACACAGATTCTGGTTAGATTCTTAAAATTATCAAAACGATTAGATTTCTTATAGCTGTTTATAAAATAGCAATTTTTTTTTTAATTTTCCTATTAATTATAAATTAAATGAAATCATATAACAATATGCAATTTCAAAGAATAATTTTACTTCTCATTTAAACATCATAGTACTTATTTCCATTTAGTTTACATATTTTGATTTGTTTTAAGAGTCTAACTGAAATGAGAAAAGTATTTTAAATCGTATTTCGAATGTGTTATTTTCACGATAAAAGTATAGTGAATATTTTTAAATATTATTTGAATGATTAATTAATACAATAGACATTTTTTTACTCTGCATATTACCGTTAAATTATAAAATATTTCCGTAGCTTAAGAAGTGCTTATAATATATTTATGCTTTGAAATATTTAGATTAAATATAAACCAAGAGCATAATAAAATACATTTTCAATAATGAAATCAATATCAAACACATGTTTTAATATAAATTATTGATAAATAATAATATTTGATAAATTAAATAAATTGTAATATTATATTCATAATATCTTGCTCGTTATAATTCTTAACAATGATCTTAATCAAAACAATTAGTTAAAAACATAATATTTACTAAAAACAATTGCGATTTATTTTAACCGATAATTTATTTATCATATTAATGCATACCATATATAGTCTCGTATTATTATTACTATTATTAAATTCAATTTCGATTCTTTGTTTTTGTAATTCTATCTACTATTGATAAAAGTGAATTTTTATAATTTAATTTACTTTCTACTTAATTTAACTATGTAATTTTTAACTTCCGAAAATATTGAATAATTTTATAGTCATTAAATATAAAATAAATGGAATCGACCGTCATAAATAAATAAGCATACAAGTAAGTATATATTTGTATAAATAAGATTTATATAAATATATATATTGTATCAGTATTTTCTAAGAATTTAACAAGACAAATGACCAAGATATTAATTAATATACAACAACTGATTAAAATTAGACTTATGATATAATAATGTAATAACCCTATCATAATTTTATAGTTCATAGTTTATAAACTATATGGTCATATATAGTAATATATTTTATATGGTGTAAAATTTGAAGTCCATTTTAAAATACTTATAAAATATTTCGCATTATTCATAAATGGAATAAAACATGTTTCAGGTGTTAAAGTTTCGATAACTATAATAATATTTTAACGACGTATATTTTTCTATTAAAATTATATGTATGGTATAGTTAATAACAATAAAACATAATTTATATAATTTTGAACGAAACACTTCTCTAAGCATTTAAAAATATAGTTATTTGAAATATCTTTCCAATTAAACTGAACAAGTCACTTAAAATATCGAATTTTAACAACAATGATATGTACTTACGTAATTTAGTATAAAATGTTGATGATTTATTACAATCGTTATTGAAACTGATACTTTTTTTAATGTCGTACAATATATTTTAAATCACTTTTCGTTATTGATCAATGGTTATCAGTTATTCTTTATTATTTTGCTGTAAGACAGTTTTAATCTACAATACATTGGGGAATAATAATTATAATGAAAAAAAAGTGTTGTCCAATATTTTATATTGTATCACGTCATATTTATTCATCTGTGTAAATACATACATCCCTACTTTACACACAATTCTGGATATAATATTAACTGTATAATATATTTAATATGAAAAAGTCTATATTCCAACCCAGTTGGAAAAAGTTCAATAATTTAAAGTATCGAATGCGGAATAAGTTAAAAATAATTAATTCTTGTAAATATATAATTGAACCATTTCTTATTAATTAATATATATCTATATAAAGTTATATAAAGTTAATAAAGTAATCCTCAAATCCATTATTTGAGTAACTGGAATAATAATGATAAATAATACTTTAAAAAGTTTAAGATAATAAATAAACAAAAGTACATTTGATACACACTTAACTTAAGTTTAATACTAGAAACGTATATATATTTGTTGTGAGGCAATGTTTGCCCTAGTAACGACCTTTATACGCATTTCTTTTAACTATATTAAACGCTTCCGAGATCTATTATAAAAAAAACCGTACTTGTCAATCTACTTTTTTAAAATGCATTATCTATTTAAAAAATAAATATCTTGATTGTACATAGTATAATAAAGACTTATATTTAAATAAAAATTTAATTTAATTTCTTTTATCAGAACTATAATTAACCCAATCAATTATTAAAATTCATTTTTAATTTACAGTTATTCTAATTATACGTAAAATGTTTTTCTTAGACATTCATTAGATACTAAATAAGCACAAATTATACAAATATACAATTCATGTAGAATCTGAAGTTTTGTAAATTTATTATTCTATTAATAATATCGCACTATCAGTGCAAGAGGGCCATGCATCAAAAATATTAAATTGTTCAGGACAGCATTTTTAATGTGTGATAATTTATAGTAGTTTGTAATTTTCTTCTGCTAAATATCAATATGACTAACTAGACCAGACATTTTCTTATAATATTGTTATTTACAAGTATAATTTAAAGGCCACATTTCGTATTACGGCTTTATTGTTTTCATCTACCTCTCGATCTGTCTTAATGCAATAAGTTTATTTATATAACTGACAATTTAAATATATAATTACATAAATCACACCACTCTAAAAAAAAAGAAAAAAAAATAAGAATTCGGAGGTATTAAAAACGTAAATTTAAAATTTTTTGATATATGGTCCTCTTGCACTGATAGTGCGATATGTATAATTGTTATAAAACATTAAAAAAAGACGTGCAAATTATACGTTTCAATAAATTATTTTAATATTTATGTTATTACTCACTATCATATGATTTTAAATTAAAATGTATTCCGAAATTCTTTTGAAAATCATAAAATTGCGTTCAGAGTAGTTCAAATGTATTTTAAATTTAAAAATCTGAAATTGTTATTTAAATTAGTTTTATTAAATATAAAATTATTTTATTTTTTTTATTTTGCCTTTGTCATAAACATTACAGTATAAAAAATATTTAATTTAAAATATTTTAATGTTTGATTACTGAAAAACTATATATTTTTAATAAATGTATTTTAGTTATGAAATAAATATTAAACATTACACGTTTTAATATTTATTTTAATCCATAAATGAAACTATATAATATATAATATATATAAATAAAATCTCCTGTTTAGTATTATTTTCAATATAATATAATTTAATTTAGGTTATAACTTAAATTAAGAAATAGATAAAAATGTGTATTATCAGCGTGTATACATAGATCCTACCAAAAGTTATTTATTATCGGATGAACAATACACTATAACTATTAATAGTACATAATCGTCCGTTACATGTCACCTAATAACATGCCAGTGACTTTAAATTAAAAATAATTGTGTAAATAAATGAAATAAATATAAATTATATTTTACTGCAATGCATTGTATACATGTCTGATATACGTCGCAAAAAAAAAAAATAAAAAATAAATAAAAAACAACAATAATAAATGAACACATAATTAACACAAACAAAGCAAAAAATAGTTGCATAATATGTAGATATAAACACATATGAGACTATATTCAACGGTTTTTACCTCGAAACGCGTAATCGGTTTTAATCTGTTGATCTGACGGAGAGGCGCCGCGACGTGATAATACAACGCGTGACGACGAGAGAGAACGAGACGGAGAGTAGTGTGAGCGAGAGGTAGTGTGTGTGTGTGTGTGTGTGTATCTGTACGTGAAAGATAGTGAGAGAGAGAGTGAGTGAGTGAGTGAGGAAGAAAAAGGAGGAACGAGTAGTGATGTAGAGAAAGGAAAAGAGCGAGTGAGAGACGGTATCAGGGGTGAAGGGTTGCGTGGTGGTGACGACGGTAGGGTTGTGTTGTATATGCGCACCACCGGCAAGTGAACAGTGACAGAAATATAATATTATGCGTGTGCGTACACTGTGCGTATATGTGCAGCAGCAGCAGCAGCAGCAGCGGTAGTGGTAGTGGTTGTGGTGTTCCGATGATAAGCGGCGTCGTAGTACTACGCGCGGGTCTGACGTCCGGACGCTGGTATCCGCGGCCGCGAACGGGTTGCCATGACGACTCCAGGGCGTCTGTGCTGGCATCGGCCCGATACGACCTTGGCCGGGATTGATTGTGCGTCTTTCCTCAACCACACGGTCCAACGCGTTCAGCATCCCTTGTGCCGAGACGCCGTCGCCATCGAAATCACTTCATCCCAGTCTACCGGGTCACGTCCGCCTGCCCGGCCAGCGTTCGGAGCCGGCGAAGAAGCTTTTTCGCGTCCGCGTGTGCGTGTGCGTCTCCGTGCATACGTGTACGTGTACGGGAGTATACGTGCGTGTCGTGTGCACGTGTGCGTGTCTCGATCGGTATCGTGAGCCGGGCCGCCGGCAGTCGTAGTATACGCGCGCAATCAATCACGTGCACGTGAACCCCGTAACACAATTGTGGTCACTCCCTCCGCTCTTACCTTCTGTCATACACACACAAACAAACACGCACATCGGTCCCTTTACGCCGATCACTACTCACTACCCAAGCCCGGCCACCAGCCCTCAACGTTTACTACGTTCACGCGGGACCGGCCTCTATACACGTTTATACGTACACACCTATTGTATATTATGTACCATCTCCCGTCCTCCTGTCGGTCGCACGCACCGCCGTTGCTGCCACCTAACCACGATCATCGATAATATGCTGCACGTCGCGCGTTCACTATCGTTAGTATATTGCTATACTTGTCGGTCACGGGCTCAGCACACTACTGGTGATAATGGCACCCCGATCACGCCGTACACGCCCATACAGATTTCCGTTTACACTTGTACTATATAATATGTATAATAATATTATTATACCATTATTGTAATATTCTCACGCAACTGCTGTACCCAACGGTAATCATCCGAGGATCATTATCATCCCAGAAATTACGTAATACCCCTGTCCCGCGGCCGATCCCTATCGACGGCGCGAACCCACTCACGGATTACAATGGTACACCAATATTATTATCATCATCGCCTCTTACCGCGGATTTACGTTTATGCGATTCGAATAATTCATTTGTCGTCGAACCGTCGACCTGTTGATCGTGTGTCATAAAGCTGGGCGCGATTATAATACGAATACAATACAACCGATCATTGTTGACGTGAAAACCACTATATTCTGGTTCTGTAATCTGATGCACACAAAACGCCAATTAATTATACATACAATGACAGTCAACTCTACAGGAATAATGACACCGACCCCGTGTAAAGAAAGTCGCAAATTAAAAAAAAAATTGACTTGTTTTTGAAAACAATAAAAATCTTATTCAAGTACATTCAATAATTTTATTCAAGTACATTCAATAATTTAACACTCGACAAAAATTCGAAAATGACAATTTAATTCGAATGTCAAGCTTTTTCATTCAAATAATCAAATTAAATCCTTCCTTCATGTTCCAATTAATTCCTTGAAATTATTATCCATATAAGCCTCAATGTATCTATTTTTTTTATTACTTTTTTTTTAATAAAAAAAAAGTTTACAATCTGTATTTAAGATTACGTTATAATCATTTATAACGGTAAAGATATTTATTTAGTAATCACTTCAAATAATATATAACTATATAACTACTACTACTATAACTTATAGTAACTAAAGAATTATAAAATACATAAATTGATCGAGAACATGTGTTCCTCATTATAAATGTACATCATGTTAACACCCTTTTATTATATTCAAAAAATTAGTAATGTTGCAAATATTATAGACATTTTATGCATCTCGTCCGTTAATTGCAATTATATTACTAGCTGTAAGTATGCTTTAAAAAAATTAAATCGTTTGTTTTTTTATTGCAATAAAAAATTAAATGCTTTCAAGTTGGCTTTGGCACCGGCCCCGAAATAAATACATGTCGAAGATATCGTGAATTCTAAACAATGTAATATTAAAATACTATACATTTAGATTTTTATAACAATTTTTTTTTTTTGTAATATATAAATATACATATGTTCAAAAACAAGTTAGTAAAATCAGTTATATAATCCAATTATAATTTTTCAAAAATTGAATACTTAATACTCGAGAAGTATAATTAATTATTTAATTTCATTAAATTTTCTCATAAATGCAATATAACATAATATAATTTCTTGTGCATTACAATTTTTTAATAATTACTAGGGCCCAGATTTAAATGCACTTTAAACCATACAAATATGCTCTAAAAAATAGTCAAAAATGTCCTTAAAAAAATGCATTTTACCACAAAAATGACCTTAAAAATGACATACATTATTTTATTTTAGGCATTATTTAACACACTATTTAATACATTAAAATCATAAACATACGTAATACGTCTGCGATTTAAAACGAACTGTTTGATTTTTTGTCGTTTAACTGAATACTGGTGACGTTCCATAGAATAAATTAAGATAAGGTAAAAACTGAATCGAAAAATAAAGATTGATTATGTGTATGGAAAAACCCAATAAACCTACTTAAATATCAAGAAAATAATTTGTTGTTTGATTTTTTTGAATGTGTTAAACTTGTTTAGTATATCGAACAAACAAAAATGCATTAAAAACCAACAAAATAACCCAATAATACTAAAAATGCTCTAAAAATGAAAAAAACGTCGTAATATGCAAAAAAAATGCAAAATAAAATTTGTAGTTTTGAAACCCTCGTAACATGAAACGAATTATGTTCTTAGAGAACATTGTGTATGAACAACCAAAAAAATATGCACTTTGCATTGAAATCCGGGTCCTAATAATGACATATTACTATCGTGCATTATTCTTGGTCTTAAGTAAAAAAAGTTAAATATTATAACTATAAAGTGATCATAGAGACTTACACCTAATATTTTATATTTAGACTTTTTTATCACGTTATCAATAATAAATGTGTTTCGTAATACATAGCAATAATACATAAGTATAATAATTCTCAATAATTGTGGTATTCGACTACTACATAAACGAGGCAAAACCGTCGCTAGGGGGGCCGTTATACCTGAGGTCCCAGTCCAGGAAAATTTAAAGGGGACCCTTAAAGTTCAGATTGATTAGAAATACTCGTTAACCAATAGAGATTATTCATATTAATATATTATTTCTAAACTACTCGTATTTTTCTTTATGAAATATTAATATATTTAATAATATGGACTTAAATGTATATTTAAACGTTATTATACAGGTTACATTTTCAGTTATTCTAATTTCTAAATAATCATAATTGTAATTCATTATGATTATTGCCAGAGTGTGAATAATGACAATAGTTTTATCCAACTTTACGAAGAAATTCATTATCACAAGTATCGACGCGACAACACCCAAGTTCTTATTTTCTACAGCTATTTATTAATTATTTAGGAATAAATTAAATTTTAATTAAACGTGTTAATTGATAATGTATTGTTGAGAAATTATTAAAAATGTAATTTATTAAATTGATGCATTTAAATGACCTTGATTGGTTAAAGTTTGGAAAACTATATTTACCAACATTTTGCTAACTTGGTGTGTTTTTTTTTTATTATACTCGTATATTATTGCGATGATTGAGGGTATAAAATAAATAGAATTGCAATATCAGATGTATTCTAAAAAATGTTTAAGCTCGAATAAAAAATTGTCATAATCTAGAAAATACATCAATTTCGCTATTTTTAGTAAGATTTACATATAAGTACACATTTCACAATCATGTTTTTTTATCACGATTTTGGTCCACTATTAATAAGCAGTAGGTGCCTATAATATAAAATATTATAAATGTAGTAATGTAGGAATTCTTTAAAATATACTAAGAGCTAAGAGGGGATTTCAACCACTATATCTCCCCTTATATCCACACCGGATTGAACAGTCTACAATAACTATACGTTTATTTAGCCATTTAGAATAGATGCTTGAAATAAGCCAAACGATGTTTATGTTTTACAGCCGTGTGAAATAATTAGCCTCCGACAAAATATCCTTTGAAGTACTTTAATTAACGTTCATCTCTAATGTAATGTCTCTTGCATTAACTTTTATGAGAATATACAGCAGTAAATATATGTTTAGCTTCTCACATTATTGATAATTGTATATTTACTACCCAATCATTTTCGTTTCCGCAAATTAATTCAATTGTAATCTATGAATAAATTATATATTCATATATTAGTTGTAATTTAAGTACAATATTATCCTGCTGCATAAATGTTCTCTGTTTACTAACATGTTTATGTATTAGTTCTACTTACCATCGATTTATTTTATAATAATGCATTTCGCTATATTGATCGATAAATACCCATTTACACGAAGGAAAATTTAAATTTGATTTAAGAATTTAATGCAGGAAGTCCAGAAACCGATAAACAGATCTCTTTTATATTGACCAAACCTTTTTAATTACACACATGAAGATAATATTTTTATCATGCCTGCACACATTCGTGTTATCATATGATAATATTATCAATATTTATAAAACTTCTAATAATAATGTTATTGGTACGGATTTGTATATTATTGTTTTCACTATGTCCCCAATGATATTTTTAACTCTGCGTACCTATGCTCGTTTTTAATTTATATTTTTAAACTCAATTATAATTTACGTTTTGTGAAATAATTATTATTATCTTCTTTATTATATACCTAATATACATTTTTTACAGTTATGAACAATGTTTTTATTCTGCCTTTTACTTTTAAATGTGTTCGACTAAGTGTCAAGGATATATCAATACGTTGCTCGTAAGTTACAACGCATTTGTCATTTGACGATTTTAAATATTGTTAGCTTCTAATATTCTAATTCAAGTAACACTCACTTAACAATTTGTACATCAAGCATCCTCAAGATTAGTGGATCATTATTATTTTTCTGTAGTAATAAACAGTTTGATGAATAATGAGACTTATTAATATATCTTTTAACAATCCATTTACATTATTAGTTAAGAAATTATTAAGAAATAAATAGACATTAATTTGGTTTATTTAAACCATTAACAGTATCATATGCCTAATAACTTGTAATTACTACAATTATGTGCATAATTTAACATATTAAGAATCTCATCCATGTACTATGAAACTAGTCTATGATAGAACCTAAATATGCTGGAAATCTGGGTAAAATGAAAATTGTATTAAATCATGTTGCAAGTTATGTCAGAACTCATGGATATTGTATTAGAAAAACTAAATTAAATAATTTTTAAGTCTTCTGCTTTAGACAGTTTTAACTACAATATTATTTTAACTTATATTGTATTTTACAACATCACATTTCTTTTTCTTCATTAGATCATCAAAACATAAATTGTCCACGTTATATGATATTTTAAACTTGAAACCAGGATGTACCAAAAAAGAAATACGCAATTCATTTATCAAGCTATCCAAACTGGTATCTATTTGATTTAATAATGAAAATAAATTAGACGTTACTATTTATTTTGTGTTTAAGAATCATCCAGACGTTTGTGGTCCTTCTGCTAATGATAGATTTATACGTATCAATGAAGCGTATACTATACTGATGGATGATGACAAAAAAAACTCATATGATGAAACATTGAGACATAATAATAATATTCAACCTGTATACTATAATTACCCAAGACAACAAGAAAGGTAAGATAAAATGCAATAATTTATTAGTTCATTAGATAAAAGAAAAAATCTATTTTATATAACTTGGTAGTGAGATTAAATAATTTAAAATTAATAAAGCCAATGAGAATAGACTATTTCTTCATTTATACTTGAAAAAGTTTTAATTTCAGACCTTTCATCTCCAACCATTCTTATATATTATCTTCTGACTAAATCGAATTCGTTGCCTTAAACTTTTAAATATTAATAACAATTGCAAAATAAAATATGTTGTTGGTGAATAGAGTTGTACCACTGTGGTTCTTCTTATCTTAATTTGTTCTATTTTTCATTTAACATTATTTTATATCATTATGTTTATCATACCGAAGAACATATGTAAAATAAATAAGTTTCTTTTAATAATAATAAAAAATTTCTTTGAAATTCCTGTATAATTTTTTAACAGTTAAAATTTAAAAAATGTATTTTATTTTATTTATTTATGGCTATTGTTAGGAATTGGAAGGATGATTATAATCATCCAAATAACCATTGGTTGGCATCAAATATTACCATTGCAGGCTTTTGTGTAGCAATATTATTAATTGGATCAACTATACGGTATTATGGAGTAAAGTAAGTACTTTAAATGTTTTAATTTTTTAACATTTAGTAGTAAAAAAATTGATTTTAGAATATATAGTATATTCTAAAATCAATGGTATCACCTATAATAATTTATCCTATCGTAGTAGATTAAAATTATTCAAATAATTGTAAAGCAATGTACAATTTGTTATTTTATAAATTAATAATATATGTTTTTATGATTTGAAGTCCACTCTAACATTTGATATCTATCTGAATAGTATGTTAATAAAAAGCATTCAAATTAAAAACATTTTTAGTATTTTTATATTTTTAATTTTATTGTAAAATTGAATGAAAATACTTTTCTTAGTCAAAACAATTTTGATTATAAAATATCATATTAAGTTTTACTTATAGTTTAATTTAATCTTAAGTAACATAACCATATTTTTATAATATTTAATCAATGCTATTAATAAACATGGAGTAACTCCATACAATCAGAAAGAAAAAGAAAAATACCTTATAATTTTTTTTTTTTTTAGAAAATCTTCTTTAATACGAAGTATGTTAGTAGAAGAATCTGATGAAAATTTGTCATTCTTAGAAGAACAAAAATTAATGAAAGTAGATAAAACAAACGATGAGCTTATTAAAATGTTTGAAGCAAATATTGCAAAAGAATATGGTCAAATTATAAAGAAGTGAAAAGTTAAATGCTGTTTCTGTTTATTATTAGTTGAAAGATTATTATTGTTAACATTTATATATTTTAATTAAATTTGTTAACCACGTTTTTTTAAAATGCATTTTATTTTATATTATCCATTATGTACATGTGTATTCTTAAATATATTATATTTATAAAAAAAACCTATAGATTAAAAATCAGCAATTGTTAAAAAAATTATCTCAAGGAAGAATAAATTTTCATTTAACAATTGATTATTGTAAATGAAACTTCGTTAGGCGCCGTGGCCTAAGTCCGATTCATGGGTTGTTGCAACGAAAACGCATTACGTGCGTGGCTTACACTGCCGTCGCTGCCGGTGTAGGCCGTACTAACGTAGTCTCGCATAATCATTGTATATTGTTTTAAAAACAATATACAATGATAAAAAAAATTAAAAAAACAATGTTTTTAGTTTAATTGACTGTATTGACGTGATATATATCCAGTCCTAGCTTTCCCTCGTGTTGCGTCATTTAGTTGATCTATATTGTGTGTTGCGTTATTACCACAGAATATATTATATTACTTTGTAGGTTTGTGTTTACTTTTGACTACCTACTAGTTATGGGTAAAACGAGAGATTAAACATTTGCGCCGCGAACGAAAATAAGTGCAAAAACCAATAAAAATAGTAAAAATTTGTCGAAAGTATAATACAATTCATGGTAAAAAACATTACTAACTAGCTTGCTTGAACGTAGGGGTGGTTTAACCACCCACTCCCGAAATATTAGAAAAAATTGATCTAACCTACAAATGTAATAGTTATTTAAAAGATTCTCACGAGACTTGTAAATAATATTTATGTATATATTTATAAAGCATGTTCTTTGAAAACATTTTACATATTTTTTCCTGTGTTCGCCGCTGCAAGCAAGCGTGGTCAATCATAACAAATTGCATCTAATAATTTTCTCCAATTTCTAAATGTACCCTATCCTACTTATTCTTGTACTTTTTTGGATTTCAATAATGGTAGGTTCTTTATATAGATTATGTAAGTCTTCATTGTTTCTCATAACAAACTTCTCGTTCTTAACATGAACAAAAATATAAAATTAAAGACTTATACCCAGGGCTTAAACCGTTCCTAATAAAGTTGGTAATCGGCCCCGGTATGAGCCGAAAATTTTTTAAAACCGGTAACCGGTTATCGTTTAATTTTGATATTATGGTAATCGGTACGCGTTTCTTTATGGGTATTTAAAAAAAAAATAATAAAAACTATAATAATCGTTTAAAAGCCGATGATAAGGTCTTTTGGTAATCGGTTACCGGTTAAAACCGGTTTTTAAAAATCATATTTTTAAAACAGTTTATTTAGGTGATTCGTGGGTTGATAATATAACTTAATATTACAAAATCAAAAACTTTTTTTTTTTTTATCTAAGCTTTGTGTAATAATTAGTTTAAATCAAAAACTTAATATGCTTTAATTTGGTCGATTTCATTCAATTTCAATATTTATTTTTTCAAACTGCTTTAAAGTTTAAAACATGAAGACAATGGTAATCAAAAAACTAAATTGCATAAAAAATTTTTATTATTATAATTTTCTTATTTATAACGATAAAAAACTGAAATTAAATATAATGATTTTCTATGATGACACTAAGATTGATACATTGCCACAGAACTTTTTGGTTATATTGTATATAATACAGTACTCCAAAATCTGAATGAGCAATTATTAAAACGACAGTATTAAAATATCATAAATACTCAATAGACTAAGCTTCTATTCCACCAACTATTTCGTAATAGGAATCAGCGCGCCACGACGATGACATTTATGACGGTATTTATAATGTATAGTTATACCTATATATATGATATCCACAACAGATAAGCAATACTCAACAGCCATTAATTGGGGAAAAATATTTAAAAATAGCTGAAAAATTAAATTCAACTATAATAGTATAATGTAATCATGACATAACCACGAAAAAGCCGTTAATTATTTTGGTCGGGAATGGGTTTTGGTTATAAAACCGGGATTGAAAATACAAGGTAATCGCTTTGATGATAATATTTAGATATTTACCTTGATTACCTTTAACCAATAACCGCTTTCAACATTCCAAAACTAAAAGTGGTTATCGGTTTTCGGTTCTCAAATTTACGGTTTTTTACCGGTTTTCGTTTAAAACCGGTTACAAGTTTTAGCCCTTCTTATACCATATATATAGGAACCTCGTATGTATATTTATATGGTCTATCACCATAAGCGCAACTATAGCTTTCATTTGAGGAGAGGGGGGGCTATAAGTACCAAGATAACAAAGAAAAAAAAAGTGAAAAGAAAATATGTTCAATAATTAAATTTAAAAATATGAAATTGTAATAAATTCGGTCTTCTGTGCTCTTGTACACTAAGTGATGAAAATTGTTTTTATTCATCTTCACCTGTAACTAAACGATGAAGGTTTTTCATCGGCTTAACAAAACTTTTAGTTATATGGATTGACACAGCATTTTTTGCTTCGAGGAATAAAACATTAGTTTGCCATGGTGAAAGACACTCGAGGAGAAAATTTTCATACATTTTCAGATGAGTGAACAAAAACTTGCTCTTGGCTGATATAAAGACATAAATATTTTTTCTGAAAAAATAAATAAAGGGTGAAAGAACTTAAGGTTTCTATAATAAAAAACAACTAATAGGCCTATATTTAATATATATGTTTAACTAACCGTACAATGAACCACCAAGTTCTTCTTTCAATGAGATGTGTCACTACCCAATGGTCAATATATTTTCTTTAGTTAAATTTGTCACAATCTTAATTTTTGTTGTTTGATCCGCTTCATTGTCAAATAGTGATAAGATGGCTTCTTCAACAATCAAATGCCATAAATAAAGCAACATTTATGAAGATCAGTTTTTGATATTTTTGTCAACATTTCCTTATATTTTAAAGATTTTATAAAACACAAATCTTGGTTAGGTGATTTTACTGCCATAATATATATTAAAACCATAGCTTGATATAGCATGCTTTAATAAATATGCAGACGTCTAGAAGAGATGCCTTGTCTTTATTGCATAATTTGAACTGAGAACTTAGTAAAAATATTTTTAGGAAATAAATTGCTTTCGCTATCCACCGAGCTTGTTGTTTGGCACCCGGAGACCTAATTTTGAATTTTTGATCTGGATCTATGTTTAAAAATATAACTGAAAGTTTTATCAACTGTCGATAATAATTTCTAACTATTTTTTTTTTTTTATTTATTTCACATGACAACATTTAAGCAATAGTAATTGTAGATTAGTTAAATATAATCTATAATAATAGTATAATAGCATATGCATAAACTGGGGGGGAGCAATTGCCCCCCCCAGAATAAATTAGGAGGAGCAGTGCCCCCTTTGATATTTAACATACCTTGTTTTAAAATAAATATAGAACAGCTGGATATAGCTATTACTATAATTTTTTTTTTTTTTTAAATCTTAATTTTAAATTTTTGTTTATCCAACATAATGTTAGAAAATTAATAATTTTATGTAACAATATGTAGGTAATAAAGTGGCGTTTAGCCTCGGACACTCTTATCGTTAGATATGTAATTTTATTTTTGCCCCCCCCCCCTAATAAATTTCCAAGTTACACCTATGTATGAGTATAATAGTATAGGTTATATATATATATATCTAATAGTATAGGTATAATCGGCAAACATGAGTAAGTTATATTAATGTACAATTTAAAATATTTCATGCTGATGACGAATTTAATAATTCGGAAAAATAATACTGGCAATAAAATAAGACAGTTACATCTATTTAATTTTTATACTTCGTTTAATGTACAAAATGTGATTAACATCACCACAAATAAATCAAAATATTAATAAGCATAAACAATTTTTTTTTTATAATACATTAGTAATTATTATTAATTTATACCCAATATAGAAACAAACTAATTCTAAAAAAATATATAAACTCATATCGTATATGGATGAAATAAAAGAACAATCAGTGGTGTAGTGGAGGGTACACGACGTGTACCCACTTCCATTTTTTCAGAATATGCGTGTACCCAATAAAAACACCTAAGTCCATGAGTTCACGATCGTGTACATGCGTATAACTAATCTTTAGTTTCTTTATTTATTTTAAAAATATATTACAATTTATCAATTTACAATTTTACATTGGTATTTCATGTGAAATGTATTGTATTATCTTCGTTAATCTTAATTTGTCATGTATTAAGTATCACTTGAAAATTATTTTGCAATAAGTGCAAATATTATGCAATAAGTGCAAATATTATGCAATATTTTATGATTTATAGTTGCTATAAATAAAAATAAAAATGTTAATTGTAATGTGTGTGACATAGCTGTAACATTTTATCAAGCACAAAATTTAAACTAAATCATAATAGAGCACTGAGTTATATTACATTAAAAATAAATAATATTGTATAGTTCATAATTGATGATTGACAAATTATATTTTTAAGAAATCTTAGGGGGGAGGCAAAACTCCCTACATCATATTTTTACTGTGAATATTTTATTTTTGACAACATTTGGCGTATACCCACTTATATTTTTAGCACTACATCATTGAGAACAATTAATATTTGAAGCCATGTGATATTAATAAATTATGAAAATTACCATCCGTTAATCCTATCTGTACATAGGTTATGTATATATTAAAGGATCCCGCTTCACATATTTCCCTGGATACCATAGAGAATTGTCTTACGGATCATAAAAACGTAACTGCGGTGTATACATTATAAAATCCTTGACTTCCACTGATTCTGACCATATAAATTTGAGTGCACCTAAAAAAAATTATCAATATATGTATGTTCTTTCCATTGTACTAATGAGTTGTGCAATACTTACAAATAATTATTTCAGCTGTCGTGATTTCGTAAATTTCTGAGATAACTGAATTAACTTCCGGTACCGATCTGATTCTATATTTCACTTCTATAAATATATTTTCCAGAATAGTGGAACTTTATACATCATCTGGTGTACTGCAAAGGGGTCATTTATCACCTTTATTGTTCCTAATTTTTGTAAATGATATTTTTCCAATTTTTAAGTTTTCCAAATTTCTATTATTTGTAGACGACCTAAAATTATATATGAATATTCATTCGGTTAACGATATAAATCATCTTCAAAGTGATTTAGATAGATTTGCCCATTGGTGTTCAATAAATGGCTTGGACTTGAATAACTTTAAATGTACCTTTATATCATTTTGTCGACGTAAAAATAAAATACGTTCTAGTTATAAAATCGGAAATTCCATTCTTGAAAGAGTTAATCTTGTCCGTGATTAAGGTGTGACCTTATTACCTTAAAGACCTAAGCTTTACTGAACATATTAACTTAATCTGCAGCAAAGCTATTCGTAACTTAGGATTTCTAAAAAGAAATTGCTCTGAATTTAATAACCCTAATTGTTTGATTATTTTATACTATTCACTTGTAAGATCCATTCTTGAATTTGGTTCGGTTGTTTGGAATCCAATACAAGTCGGCCTCAAAAATAAAATTGAAATAATTCAAAGACGTTTCCTTCGTATGTTAGCCTATAAATTTGGTTTAGTTGATAAATCAGTAAAAGATGTCGCTATAATATACCAAATCCCAACTTTAGAATCAAGACGACTAAACACAGATGTATTATTTATCCATAAATTACTTAACAATAAAATAGATTGTCCAGATTTACTAGAACAAATTTATTTTAAAATACCAGTTTTTAACACCCGCCAATCACATTTATTTTACACTAATTTTGGTAAAAATAATTTCGTTAAACACAGCCCACTAAATCGAATGTTAACATCATGTAACAATATTTATAATTTTGATTTTTTCTATGATAACAGTAACAAATTTAAGTCATATACTTATAATTACTAATCCTACTCATTATTTATAAATATTAAACATTATATTCCTCCTATCTAAATCTAATCTATTACAGAATTATTATTATATATCTTTATCACATTGTATGCATTTCTATTTCTTATTAGTACTTAGACTTAAACATTGTTATTACTTTATACATATGTAGTATTTATGATTTTATTTTACTGTATCATATTACCCTTCGAGGGTGTTACTTTATAATAAATAAAATAAAAATAAAAAAACTTAGAGGTTTCGGCCGTTTAAACTGCCAAACTATAGCTAAAAACACCGATTTCAAACGGGTTTATTAAAACAGGGCGAAGTGATTGGAAGTGAAATGGATGGTATAATTCGAATTATTTTTCTTTCATCCATGGGATAAAACGATACGTATGACACTTTATTTTCACGTAAACATTTAATAACGTCCCATAACCACATCACAAGAAATTTAACTCTCTGAAGATCGAACAGCAAATATAAATTACCGTTATAGTTTTGAATTATCATGATGAAATATAAACCAAATTATTTTCTTATGACAATGTTATTTGGGAAGAGAGTCCTGAATCAAAAACTTTTATAGTTTTTTCTCTTCAATTAAATACTCATACACTTTTATATATGAGGATAATTTATGTTATACTTAAACGTATATATATATACTTTTAAGTATAACAGGTTATAACATTCAACTGTCAACAACATTACGTGTTCATTACATTTGAAGTATACCCATTTAAATAGACCATTATATACCATTCTATACCATACATTGCAATATATTTAATATTCTCGCCCTTACAACATAACGCTTTATTTTATTTATTTATTTTTTTTTTTTTTTATAATATACAATCGCTGGAGATATAATTACTTCTACTGTCCCAGTGGAATAATACCATGAGTGCAGTAACCAATAGATGACCACGTCATAGATGCAATACGAACCTTCTTCCGTAAATTCTATAGGTTTGACTGTTATAATTTGAAACTTTTAAGTATGAAATTTTAAAATTTCATGATTTTATATTTTTTTTTGCATATTTGTTGCGATATATCTATAATATATCGACCAGCAACGGAATTTAAACGTCGTGATTGAGAGCCGTCGACGAAAACGCGTTGTACTCATGATTAGCGCCTAGTTATCGGAAAAGCTTCGTCTGCACCAGAGGCGTAACTCAGCTTTTCTAACGGAGTTAAAGATGGCTAAATGCAGAAGTGTCGAACAACATTTTGAATGGTCTAGTGACTAGACCTCTAGTCAACAGCTAACCAATTTACAACTCACAACAAACTACACTCAAGGACGTTCTTTAAAGGGTTGGGAGTTCACCCTCTCCCAAAATTGTTTAATCTATTTCATCATTTATAATAGCATTTAAATACTTAAACATCTTAAATAGTAATAATTACATAGGGAATATTATAATTTATAGTTAGTTTTATTAATTCACTTATCAATCGTATACTGATCCACCACCCTAAAAATATGGTCTGCTTATGACTGAGTTTTGCGTCACTGGCTAAATTTACTTTACTCCCCCTCTTAAAATACAAAATTTTCAAACACCGTCAAAAGAAACACAAGAGATACTTTTTGAATTCTTTGTATTTTCTCATGTCTCGCTAAACCTCAGTTAATAAGTTATTTTACACAACTCGGTAACGATCTGGTTGGGATTTATTTCAAAATATAATACACTCACAAACAGTAAGATTTCTGCATTTATTAATAGTGAATTTCACTTAACGGATGTTATAAAAAAATATAGCATGTACTTGTCCATTAGAGGGAAGTTGGTCCCCGTAATTTAAAACTATACGTATCCTTCTAATAATATTTTTTGTTTCACCAAAATCAATTGGCTTACTAACATTAACAATCAGCAATTATACGCACATTAGTGCGATTCAAAAGCGCGCTCGTCTATAATGCAAGTATTGATGGGTAAATACCGATAACTAATATAGTCGGAACTGGTTATCATGGTTCAAAGTATATGAATTGTAATTTATAAGTGTTTTGATAAAAGAAAATTAAATTAAAAGGAATAAAAAAATGACATTACATTTTTTAGAACAACCTATTGCATATGTATAACACATGTATTATATATAAAGTTATAAAGTTCTAACCTTTTCTATTGTTGTTATTACTTTTTTAATGCGTTAAATAACTTTAAAATTTGTTTTACATATTTAAATGAAAAAAATATCATTAGATTAAATATTTAAAAATCTGAAAATTTTTATTTAAAACAAGAAAATTAAGTTTTAAACATATTATAAATTATGATACAACGCCATCGTATTTTATGAAGACTAGATATCTTACAAATTATAAAATTATATAACACTGTTAAATAATGTACAAAACATTTAAAATAAAAAATTGACATTTTGTAACGACTTAAAGATATACATATAGCCAATAAAAACAATTAAATACGAGAAATGCTGCAGGAAATGCAATACGACTGCGTTGGTCGATCCATTGAGCAATTTCTTGCGGAGTCAACGTAAACAGACCACCACCTACGCTAGTTTTATTGTCATTTAATGTTGGTACACGAATACTAAAATTTTCAAGTGGTTCTGGATGGGGACAAACAACAGGGTCTAGATCACCAACAGATAGAAGACTTTTGGATTTCTTGAAAAAAAAAAAACAATTAATAAAATAAATAATTTAATAAACACTAAGTAGGGAATATTAACTCTATTTATGAAATATTTTATTATTCTTTGGCAGTAGGGTTTTAATTTTTCAAATTCATTAATTTTATAAACATATAATACTATTCATAGTTTCATAAACATATGACTTATATCAAATGACAAATATGTTACACTACTATTAAAGACAACATGAATAATGAATAAAACAACATCAGTGTAGTTACTGAAAAAAGATTGATAGTTGGCATTTTAAGAGAGAAGTATAATAAAATTAAAAAAAAATGTATTTATGAATCTCATATTTTAAATAAAATATTCAGTGTGATTATAATATTGTAGAGTGAATTGTACATTTAATTATATAATATTTAATATACTCACATTTTCTCTTCTACTTAACTTTCCACTAATCGTTCCTTTGTCAATACCGCTGTCAATAGATAACTTCCGTTGCATTTGAGGCGTTAAAGTTGACTTAAAAATATGTTTACTATTGACTTTTTTTAGTTCCACGTTTTTTCTGTAACAACGTATTGTTTACTCTTACATAATCTTGATTTAATATTATTATAGATTTATACAGTTGAATAGTGAAAATAATAAAATCCGAAGTATAAATAAAACAAATATATCATTAAAAAAAGAAGCTAGAAAAACAGCCATTATGATAAGTTATTAATTAATTGTAAGATATACTAAAACCTAAAATTTTATTTGAACTTTTGCTATTTGACTGCAATAATTAAAAAGTATTACTTTCGTCTCCATATGGTGTTGACAAATGCAAACTCGACCAATGATCCAAATATAAATGCTGTGCATACAATGAACCATATCTCAGTAGCTTTGATATAAGAAACTTTAGGTAGCGAGCTACCTGTGTTTCTTGATAATGTAATGAATGTGAGCATTGTACTAGTTCCTAAATTATGTACAGATATATCAATAAATTAACGTTATTTTAAACATCAAATTGTGGAATTGATTCAACATGTGATCTATAGCCGGTTTCGACAATATAAACTATTTGCATTTATTTTTTAATTTTATACCATACTCATTATTAATATTTTAATAATAATAATATCTAGTTCAACTTAAGCCAAAAAAGTTGTATGTATTTTTTGTTCAGTCAGAATCAAATTAATATGGTTTTCCCAATACGGTAACTTGTAATATAATTATTGCTAATTTAGATCAATGTAAATACTAAAAATAACCTAATTTACTTACACACATTATTTATTAAGATTATTATTATCTTTCAAATACATCTCTCAGTTTAATTGTGTCTAATAAGCAGTTTAATGTAATATAAAAATTAAATCCATTCGGACACTATAAGAATCGTAGATCAGATAGAAATGATAGGTATAAAATTTCTATACTCGTATTTCCAACGTAACCTCGCTTTTCTAGTGATATTTTCCATCCAATAATTCCATGTGTTCATTAATTGATATCCTAATATTAGAGCTGACAAGAGGGTGGCGTAGGGAGGGTTAAATCACCGGGGCCCGTACTTCCAAGAGGGCCCAACGTCTTAGCTTTTTATACAAAATTAAAAAAGACACCCTCATCTTGAAATCTTCTTAATGCCACCAAAACTTTAAATCTGGAAAATGTATTTCTTAATATAACTGTGGCTTTTCGGATATTTATCATAATGGTAGCAAATACTGAACGCTTTTTCTCAGTACTAAAAATGTATTATGTACAACTATATGTCAAGAAAATCAAGCTTAAATTTTAGTAATGGAACAAAAACTGTTCAAAAACACCAACTTAGACGATGTTATCAATAAATTTGCAAAAAGCCAGAAAAAGAACACTGAACTGAATTTTTTTTTTTTTTTTTTTACTAATGATATACCTACTCTATTTACTTTTGTCATTAAAAAAAAAAAGAATTTTAACTAAACCATATACTACGTTTTTGATGTTCTCATATCATCAAACTTAAATAATTGTATTGTTCTGAAGTATGTATAAGTAGTACTAATATCTTGACCAAATAAGTGTAAGTCTAAATTAATCAACCTTGGTGACTTCAAAAGTTCTCACCAGTCTTGCCTTCTATGGCCAATTGTAAATGGGAAGCAAATAGTGAATCAAAATTGTATTGCAGAACGTCAACAATTATTTGTCCTTAATAGACATGTTTGATTTACATTAACCATATAACATTATACTCTTCTCCAAAGAAGACGTAAGAAATGTGTAGTATATAATAATTTTACTCAACCAAAAAAAAAACTATACGTCACATAATCTAGGTTCTATCTGTGTTATCACCATAGTAGACCATTGTACTGTGGCAGTCACCCATGCCAATCAATGTTAGGTTAGTCTGACCTACGCTAATATACCGCAATAAATATTTATTTTTTAACTATTTCATGTTATTCAAAGTAATAAACGATTTTTAATGTTATAAATAAATATTAGTTATTAAACTTATTACGTATCCATTAATAAGACACGTATGATTATCCGGTCTGATTTACACCTAATCGTATCTTAGATCACTGTAGATCACAGGTTAAACCTATTTCCAAAATATTATTAATACGTTAATACTTAACAGTGTAATAGCTCATGTATAATATCAAATTTAAATTATATGTATTATATACAGTTAGACATATAAAATAAACCTAGTAGATTAGTAATTATAGTTTTATTTATCGTTTGTCAGTGCCGTAAACATCCACTGTGGCGCCCTTGGCAAATTTTATTTTGGCGTATATTTTACAGAAAAAAAAACATTTTAATTTTACTTAAATGCGGTTCCTTACTTCGGAAAACCGCCCATTTTGCCAACTCCTAGTTACGGCACTGTCGTTTGTTAATATATTACCACACTTTGGAATTGAACTATTCTTATTAGGTGGACAGAAGGAATAAAGATATATTAAAAATAAGTGTAAAATAACTATTATTTACTTAGTTAAAATAATTATAACGTACAATATTACGTAATTAAATTACCTAATGTTGTGCGACCAGGTACTGCATTTGGATCTAACCAAAACGATACCCATGATACAACTACCAGCATGATACTTGGTACGTAATAGTCCATTATGTAATGACCAACTTCACGTTCTAACTCAAAGTTTACTATTAATTGACTATAGTTTCCAGCTTTTGACAAACAAAAAATTCAAATGTTATTAATTTTAATCTAATTATCAACACATTTTATATTTTATTTTTTAATTTTTTTTTTTATTGTGAACTTTCAAACACGCTTAACAAACACACTAATTTCAATTATGTATAAGTTATATATGAAGTAATAAGAGCAATGAATTAGTTATTTTACCAAATTTTCCATAGTAATGTACATGTTCAATGACTGAAGGTGAATATCCTTTATTTTTATAATTTTCATCTATTGGTGTTGATTTTGTCAGTGCATATTCACTGACGGTTGCATTTGTCCAAATGGACACTAAGTTATATTCAGTCATTCGCAAGTTGCTATTCAGTACCGCAGGGGAATCGTGTTCCCAGACTAATTCCAAATGGGTATTGTTGTAAGTCCCTGAAATATAATGAATTATAAAATTCGATTCACTTGAAATTTTCAATATGGATAAAAAAATATCAAATGGTCTACAAACAGCTTTCCAATATCAATGGGCATGTTTGTTCATCAAATGGAAATTTTTGTAAGTTCATCATGCATAATAACGACACTTTTAACCTATAAACAAATGTCTATTTTAATTCTATATGGTATTATGTTTCGTTGTGGTTTAAATTTAGTGTTATATGATAATTGTGTTATATGACCTAGCTGAATATAAAACTGTTCCATCTGGTTGAACCGTTACTAGTATATCTTGGCGGCCGGAACCCATGATGTTCGAATCGTGTTCATTAACGATGTACACATGCGGAATCCAAACTCGTTCCTTAAGTTTGTTCTCACCCTGTATAGAGGACTTGGAAGAAGAATGTACAAGTCGATCATCCCGCCACCGATATCGTATCAATATATGAGCCGTAAAATGCTTTATTTAAAATGTATTACTATTATAATTGCTTTCGCTGTATAAACACTTAGGCTACGTTCAGACGGAAATATTTTTCCTGTATACGGAAACTTATCGAATATAGCAGTGGCAGGGGGTGTTAAATTTACACGTTCACAAGGAGCCCGTGCGGAAAAATCACATATTCATGAAATTTTTTTTCTCGAATACCGTACGAACTTGTCACTACGATTCGATAAATATCGAATGTATTTTGACGAACACATGATAAAATAGTAATTACCTTTATATTATATCGTTTACATGAACAAAATTTTCCTGTATCTTGAATTAGTTTTCAACGTTTTCTCAGTGTTTTTAATAGCTATGTGTTCGATGTATTGTTTGGAAGACGGAAAATAGAAAACAATTTTAAAAAATCAATAGAAATATTTATTTCATAAATTAAAGAATAACCATATTGTGGGGTAAATCATTTGACATCTATAAACAAACATTTTTCAAATATTTTTTCTCGTTGTGGGCCATTCTGTAATAGAGGATTTACCTAGAACCTTTGTAGTACTAAACGTTTCCTTTACGTACATCTATACTAGTATAAAAAAAGTAGAACAAGCGGATCCAATGGCGATTATGTGCCAATTACCAACACTACTACCGAGTAAACTATAATGATGTATCCATTTTTCGTGGCTCAAAACCCCTACGTATGTGAAAAAATTGCATCGAAAAGTTCTCGTGTGAATTGTCGTTTTGTATTCGATAAAACCATATACATGAAAAAAATCGAATCGAAGAGCCACCGTCTGAACGTAACCTTAATGTATTAATATAGATTAGATATAGTAACTTGAATTCTCTGGTACGTCAGCAACCATACCCTACACCATGACCTCAACTTACCACCAATATCCTCACTTGTCTTTCATCATTATAACAAATTCCATAAAAACACCTTTAACCACTCTAACCCACTCATATCCAAACTTTCTTCTTGTATAATACCCGACAACCCTAACCGTCGTCTTAAACGTAAATGGACGCACAATTTATTAAATAATACTTAGTACCTACTGAATATCATATAAAATAATTTACCTCCCCCCTAAGTTCATAATTTGGAAGTAGTGTCACTGAACACTCCCTTCCCTCACGCTTGTCACGTCTAGTAATATTTTCATCACATTTACCTATTATTTTCTTATGTATACAGATTGTAAATGTCTTTTTAAAAAATAAAAAATAACTTGAACTATTTTTAGAAAAAAATGTAATAATGAACTTTTATGATTTAAAAATTTGGTGAAAAAATGTTTTAGATTAATACTTTAAACTGACATCAGCAATATTTGTTAGCAAATATCGATAAATAGTTAGATTATAGTTACTAAACTTTATAAACCTATACAATCTTATTTATTTATTAAACGGGCGAGCCTAATTACAATGGAAATGTGAAACATATAAATATATACATAAATAAGGGTTATTGTGGAAGTACAATTTATGTTAAGTGATTAAATTACTAAATTATTAAGATAAAATTAAAAGAAGCAACTGAATTACAAATAAAACATCTATATTAAATTTATTTACATGTGGCATGAATCTAATTATTGGGGCATTCTTACTATATACAGTACGTTAGAATGACACATAAAAAGTATCAGTCTGTCTAGTCGTATGACCTAAAAAGATAAATTTGACAATAGAGCTGGATAATAAATATAACCATTTAAAAGTTTATATAAAAAAAAAAAATGTCATGTTTTACCCTTCTGACTTGAAGAGTATTAACACGTTCACGGCCACCCCATAATTTGAAAAGTCGTATAAATAAACCACAACATAAAATTCATAAAATTCCATAGATATTATATAATTCCATAGATTTTATATCAATGGAATTATGTATTATCTTTGGAAATATAAACAATCTATGGATTAAATACAATATATGGAATTATATACCAAGTAAATACACATAACACCAACTAAAGTAACATTTCTTCTAAAATCTAAATGTGGCATACTTGTTTTTTACTTGTTGTACAAATAATTAGCATTCCATAAGCATATATCCATAGTGTAAAAAAAAACTTTAATATACCAACGTAACTATTTCTTTGGAGTCGGGTAGTATCTTATCATCTGGTCTGCTCGGTCTATACCTGATATATTATTATTATAATCAAAAATTAAGGAGGGTTTGAATTTACTCTATCCAATTAACAAATTGTTAAAAATCAAACTGTAAACATAAGCAAGAATCATACAGTGTCACTCTAAAAAACCAAAAATATTATGCCTACATTAAACACTACTAATATCACTATCCAGCTGTTAGATTTTAAAACCAAGTACATCAATCGATACACAGAAAATTGTTTAAAAAAACCATTTTATAATATAACATAAATTAATAATAATATTATAATATAATAATAATATAATAATAATAATATTTATAATAATAATATATAATAATATTTCTTAATAAATATATAATATTTATTAGAATAAATCAGAGTCAAATAATTATGTATACAAATGAATGAACACCATGTCAACTATACTTGACATGGATTTATCCAAAGAGAACCCTATGTCAACTATAGTTGACACGTGGCCATGAACGTTTTAAGGTTTAAGTATAATAGTAATGGTTCATATGAAGTGCGAGGCAACCATTTAATATTACATTCAATACTTATAAGTCTCAAAAAACGATTTTGAATCACCTCTAGAGAGTGAATTGGACCAGATATATAAGGGGACCAAATTATTGAACTATAATCTAAAACTGATCTAACAAAAGTGCAGTATAATGATTTAAGGGCCAGAGAATTATCAAAATTATTACAGCTTCGCATTATAAGCCCTAGCTTTACATAATAGCCTAACATAACATAACATATGTAGCCTTACATAACCCTAGCATTATAATATAGAGGCTAAACTGATTAACACTACTAGCGATCTACGAGAGGGTAAATTATAATTGAAAAATCGCAAATATTTAGTAAAAGTGTATTCAACCACTTCTAAATTTATAGATTAGTAAAAATACGTCGATACTAATAATTATTTTATTTGTATGCTATCTTAATCGTTTAACATTATATATAATATAAAACAAGTATATAAATTATATACAAATGCATTTGATATGAATTATTTATGTATATAACTATTATAATTTAAGTTTTTAATCCACAAAAATGTTTTTGATAATATTTTTAACAAGTCATTTGATTGTGTTGCTGACTTTTAAAGTAATGATTCATTGATGATATAGGTCACAAAACCATAAATTTTTCTTTAATTTAAGATTTTGTAGGATTTTGCTTAACAATAAACCGGCTGTAGATAGTGCTTAACTTAGGAAGGTCGTCTCTGACCAAACCGCTCTCTCTCTCTCTCTCTCTCTCAGTAATTCAAATTTATACCTTCCAAATTATATTAAATATTTTTAATGATTCTCAATATTTATAAAATAATAAGAACTAATGAATATTATTATTTCTTTTGGTTTCAAAAAATATTAATTATTAAACAAATACATCGCATCATCACTACAGCACTCACATTTATAACAGCAATGTATGTATGTTTGATAAATAAACCGGATTACTTCATTTTTTCAATTAAATATACATATAAATAGTTTAATTAATTAATTGAGTTTATATTATTTTAAAATATAACTACATTTCAGGAAAAAAGTTAATTTATGCGATATATATTAACTAATTAATTTAGTAAAATGAGCAGTTCTAATTTAAGTTAGTTATCTGTCTAGTTGATGACTTTCTTATATAATATTATATCCACATATAAGTCAAATGGATACTTTTTTTGTATCTCATATTTACTAGGTACCAATGTAAAATGCTTAAAAAAGTATTAACTCATGTACTTACATGTATATGTATACTGCTTTTTTACTGATAGTGTTACTTTTAACTGTTGTATTTTTAAATACTATGTGTATGTTAATTATACTTATGACTTACATAGTATTTTATTTTTGATAATTTTCAACTTGACAAATATTCATTCAAATTGGTAATATGACCTTTCCTCATCAAATGTACGCTGCATATATGGTTTGTTAATTTTTTACTTGCGCACATATATACACATAACTGTATACGAATCTTAAATTTCGACTGGTATTATAAACATTTAACGCATCAAAAATCTTAAACTTTTATTCTTTCAATTTGAAAACTAATATAATCATAAATATGACCTTATTAATAATACTTATTTTTAATACTCAAATAGTATTAAGTATAAACAAAGGTTTTAGAACAACAAGTTGTAAATTCAATGGAATTCTACGTATTACGAGAATATATATTTTCAATATACACTAGATATATTACTATTTATAAGTTAATTATGTTTTAAAAATGCTTATAGATAAATCTAAAGTACCTACACGACTACAAAGATATAATGAAACACATCATATTTATAAAGCAACTGAATAATACTTAACCTTATCTCTCCAAATTTTAATATTTTAAAATAAATTAAACATATACATTGTTGTAACATCTCATGGTTTTAATTTTTGCTATTTTTAATCGAGGAGTTAAAATTATTTAAAAATATATCTTCAAATCATGTGTTTTGGGCCTAGTAATTTTATTATTTTAAATTATATTTGAATATCTAACGAAGTGATATTAAAAAAAAAATTACACAAGGAAAAAAATCAATAGAAGTATTACAAAAAAGAATCTATTTAAATATTTAAGTTTTGTTAAAATATTATATTTAATATTGATTTTCTTGACATTATAGAAAAAATATTATTTTCGTGATAGTTAAACAGTATAAAAGTAACAGTATAAACCTTAATGTTTCATTCACTGTAGTGAATCAATTGCTCCATTAATTTTTTTACTCGGAAACTCAGTGTGTACATTCAAAAGATGGACTCTTAATTTATTCAATAATATGGAAACTATAAAAAGTACTAACCAACTGTTGTGCCTCAACTGATCCCAAAAAGTATACATATACTCGAGTGAACACTCGTGTAGGACCACCAGTTTTACCATTACTGTCCGTTGGCGATGGTCTCGTCCAACGATCGTATCGGCATGGATCTGTTAACCACATAAGCATTTCTACATGATTACCACTACTTGCGGTATTGTCTTCTTGGCATGCTCTACAAAAATTTGATAGTTTCATAACAAAATCTGTATATTTTGTTAAAATTTGCTAAAATAATTTCACCTAACTATATAATACTATATGTTTATTAAGTATTGCTGCATTGATAATATTATTTCGTTGAAAATTATTCTGTACATTTTAAAAGTTTTCTATTCAATAGACAACTGTTTTTGTAAAAACATAATACGTTTTAAAATTGAAACTAGTTCCAGGTTTAGCTAATTAATATTTGCAACGTCTAGGTAATTTTTACTCTTGCGTTGGTATAAATAATGCTCACTAAAATTATGTTTAAACAGTTGTGTGCTTAAAGGTAAAATTTAAAAGCCTATAATAAATTAACAATATGCAATGTAAAACCATGTGCGAGGTAACTTAAATATAGGTTAATTGTAAAGAATACATTCAAATGGAGTTTGCAAACATTTTACATGAATACGTATTAAGTTAAATATATATGTATACAGAGATGAAATTAGGAATTTTTACGCCCGGAGAAAATGTTAAAATTACGCGATATCAAAGACCAAAATCAAATACTTTTCTCGAAAAATGTTTTCTAACAATCATACTTGAGTTTTAACCTAATATAAGTATTTGACAAAGTTAAAAATAACAAATTAGTTGTTAATAATTACAAAAATAACACCCTCTAAAATTTTACGCCCGGGGATGAATCCCCGTCTTCCACCCCCTAGTTCTGCCACTGTATAAATACATAGGTACTATAGGGACTGTAATAAAGGTAATTCATCATAAACAAGTAAAAATATATAAAAATATAGTGAAGTAAATCAAATTTTTACTTTGGCTGAAAAAATCATTTTAAAACTGTTTATATTTATATTTTAATTTGACCAACATAATTGTCTTTTTTAATTAGTAGATACAAATAATCATTTAGGTCCTGAACCGAGCTAAGTTTAATTTAATGGCTTTTATTTTCGTGTTTATAATTATAAGTATTGCAAAAGCTTAATATGAACCGATCAACTTATGAATTGTAATAATTGTGTCTATTGCAATTAGAACTTTAAATTTAATAGTTTTAACTTAAAAATCATTATTAAAACAATTGCAATAAAAACAAAAACACGAACGCGTGAAAAAATCGATTTTGGCTACTATTTTTTCTATAGTTCAAAAAATTAAAATTCTGCAACCTCTTTAAGTTTTCGACATTTTAGCAAGTGCTGTTTAGAAAGCTAGTCAAAACGTACCATAAAGTCTTTACGATCCATCCGAATGTTGGGTGAACAATTTTGAAAAACGAAAAATGTAGAAAAACCTTAGGATATACTCGTGTTCATAATGGGAATAATTTATAAAAACTACTTTTGGATAAAACCGAAAAAATGGCCAATGCTCGCGTGAACAGGCATTGAAAATATCTTATCCGAACATTTTCTATAGATTATCCGCACTAGACTTACCGATGGACCGTAGCGCGTATACGCCGCTAATATGAACAAAGAAAAAACCGTTTAAAGTGAATGATGGTGACAGTGGTAATCCACGAGGACGGAAAAACGAGTGTCACCAAAGAATGACGACGAAATAAATATCTCCGCTTCGCTCGAGAAGTCCGCACATTCGATATTCGCCGATTGCCGAATATTTGCTAGACGATCATAATATCCCAAATACATCAATAATACTCGACGGCAAACATCACATTTACCGACAAGAAATAGATAATTTTCGACCGACTATTCAAATAGTAATAGTAGTAATAGTAGTACCAGATGTTCGGCGAATAAACAACGATTCGTGCAATAATTGTTCGGCGAATAACGCAAGCGTGAAGCTACCTGAACCAGAAATCGTATTGACGATTTGAATGAAATGAAAAACATAAAAAGCAGCCTATCTTCTACGTGTACCGTCGATTTATTTAAACGCATTAAAGATAATCGCGACGACGCGAAATATTGTTGGTAAAACCGTGAATTTCTGCGTCCACCGTCGGACTCTGGACGGTGATGGTCGTTAAGACACTGTTGCGGCTGTGTAAAATGGCGTGTGCAGCACTTACGGTTGGACGGTTTTGACGTAAAATGTCGCGTACGTTAACACGGTTACGGTCAGTGTCCAAAGAGCGCCGCCACCGTGACCGGAGCTGACGCCGTAATATCCGTTCATCGCCGCACTTACGGCGCACACCTAAGTGTATACCACCCGAACAAGTATAATATTACTTGCAGTGTATATTTTGCGAACGCAAACGCACACGCACACACACACACACACACACTCGTGCGCGCGCCTGCAAGCATACACACCGCGTGTACTAGTACCGCACTGCGGAACACGACGTGCGATGCGTTGTCGACGACATGTCGCGCGCGCGCGCGCGCGCGCGTGTAAACGTATCCGTAATTCGCGAAGGATATCGGCAGTTCGGACGCGCGATGTTCGCAGTGCCGCGTATCGCGAGGCGCGTGCGTACGGATAATAACCCGTACGGCATACCTTTGCGGCGCGCAACGGCTGTTGCGGTCCCGTCCATTCGTTACACAGCCGGCGCGTCGAACGAATTTCATTTGTTCCCGTAAACGACGAATACGCGCCGCGGCTACATCGCATCGCGTTATTATCATTATCATGCAAATACGTGTTCGGAAACAGCGCACGACCACACGGATAACCATTGTGTATGTACGCGGATTTTTGCGCGAGTACGTGCCGTTCGCGGTATACCTACGTGAGAACGTCTTCACCGTTTGTTTAATTACATGTAAATACGATTTAAATAATTAACGAACGTCTACGAAACGTTTCTCGATGCGGCCCGTGCGTATAATTCCGTACACGCACACGCGCGCGCGTGTGTGTGCGTGTACGACACCCAGACATCGGTGAATTACGCGCATTTCGAAACGCCAGCGGAGACGTGCGTAATACGCGTAAAAACGCTTGTACACGCTGTACGCCTGCGCTTCATACGTGCCGAATAATAATCGAACGTATAATCGTACACAGAAGCGGTACAATTATCGTGGTCGACGCTAACAAATGGCGAGCACGTGACGGTCGACCGCGTTATTGTGCAAGTTAGGATGGGCACTCCTCGTCGCCGTCACCGCTCGCCTAGCCGATTTCGTACGTGCACGGAGACGACTGTTCGCTCCGCGATACATGTATTTACACGCGTTTACGTGCATTGTCTGTTGGTTTCCCGACCATGGACGATCGACGCACGTCAAAGGATAACTTCGTTGTTGTAAAACCTCCGAAAGTATAAACATTTATACACGTACGTGTACGTGCGCGTGCGTGCGCACGATAGCCATTCTCCCCGACTAGGACGGCCACTTCCCTGGCGTTGTCGACCGATTAGAACAGTTCGCACAATGATTGTCATCGGGTCTTTGCGACTTATCGAACACGCGCGTGTAAATATGTGCGTGCATTTTTGTGTAAGTGGTCGTGTGCACGCACCCACGCGAGCGGAATGTGATTGTTACGCGGGTAATCAGAACTGTGTGGTGGTCACAGATCACAGTACATGTTAGATATTATAATATAATACAATATAAATAATGAAACAATAAAAAAATTAATTCAAATTAAAAGTCATTAAGAATTATAAAACAATGTAATATTAAAATAACATTTAATATAATAGTTTGTTTGAAATATATGAATGTACTTTTTAAGCCTAAAAAAATATAACAAAGAACCATATTTACCTGTACGCGGTATGTTACCAGAAAACATGTTTCTATTATTCTTTTATTTTTCATAAAAGGTATATTCAATACAAGGTGATTTTTTTTTTTTTTGACGAGCAACATTCGCTATTTTTAAAAAAATAATTTGAATTTGGAATGCAGAATACAAAACAATTAAAATGTTACATATTTCTTTTTTTCACTGTAAACACTTTCGAGTAGCACAACTTTTACTGCTACTGACAAAATAAATATCTTCTAAGATCAGAAATCAAATATTAAAACTCGATTAGAGAACTGTGAAAAAAATTATCTATAACTCATAATTATATTTTAATTTATAATTATTTTTTTGTAAATTTATAAGTCCCTACACTAAATAGTAATAGTACGAGTATAATAATAGTAGAACCCATTTTCTATCTTTTAATATTTATTTGGTGATGATCGGATCACTTCTGGTCAAGGTTATGTTCACAAATAAAAAAAAACACTTATCGAAGGAAAACCATTTCAATATTCGTTGTACCGAAAATTTAAAATAGGTTTATACAAACAAAGAATAATGACTTAATCGCTAAGATTTGAAAAGATCTTTAGAAATTATATATTTGCTTATTACAAATTTTTATTATTTAATACGTGTAACGTGTGTTTGAAGTCAAGTTCAATTATTATATTATGAACGTCATAGAACCAAAAAAGTATATTTTTGTGACATTCTTATACGTATATAACAATTCCAATTACATAAAGTATGCTTTCTTTGGTACGGTGTCAGTGGCGTATACAGAAAATATTTTCGTAATGGATACTATGGACAGAGTTAAAATACCATTACTATCTAAGAATTACTAACAAGACACAGTAGGTACTTATCTACATTTCATTTACAGAATGTTCCAAAACGATTTGATGTTGGACGCAAATTCTAAATAAGCATAAAGCACCATTAAAATATAACATACGTTTAAGATAATTTTTAAGTTTTTTAAAACATTTGAGGGGGTCTCACTAAGCCCCCCCTATATACGCTACTGTACGGTGTTATATCTAACTTACTCGCAGCATCCTTCTCTAACACCATATGTCAAAGCTTTCGAGGATTCGTTGTTCCATCTTATTTAGTATCCAGATTTCACAGCCTTATAGCGCCATAATTTTATGTATATTTTTATGAAGCATTTTCTCACCCTAATACTTATACTAGCGGAGCACACCAGGCTTTATTGTAAGCATTTTTTCAAACTGCACAAATAAAATATATGTGACTAGAGGGCTTCACCCCACACTCTTTACACTCATTATATTGATTCTGATGAAGCAGATAATGAATTCAAACACGTGGAAGTAGCCAAAATCGGTTTCAGTTTCATTCAGATTCAAACAATTTGACGTCATGTTTACCCCGTAATAAAATAACACATACCTAATTTTAAATACCTGTGGTAAAGTAAATTCTTGAAAAGTTAATTATGCCTTGGTTAACTTTCTCTTTTAAGAATATAATTAATAACACTCAACATGGTTTTATGAAAGTACGCTCAGTTGAAACTAATCTTCTTTGTTTCTATAATGCTATATTGAAATCCGTGGAATCAGGTAAACAAGCTGATGTCATACACACCGATTTCAGTAGAGCATTCGATTCTGTAAATCATTCTCCATAGGCATGCGCAGACCTCTTACATACCTCAGGGTATGCAAAAGACTGGCACTGCCTACCCCTCCCCCCTAAAACTGAAAGTTAATTTAAGCGTTCGAAATTCTGGTCTTAATAACTATTTAGTTTAAAATTTTAATTTTTTTTCCAGAAAAAACTGACTGAATAGCCATTTATCAAACGTGATAACTGTCTTCATAGTTAAAATTTAAAATAAATTACGAAAAAAAAAAATTAAATACATAACACTTAAAATAGTTTGAGTAATACGTTTAAATAAGGTAAATAAATAAAAACGTAATTATATACTTAAATGAAAAACAAAATAAATTTGATAAATAATCAAAATTAATCATAAAACGATTCTGCGTACAGTTGAGTTCTTAATATCACCAATAATGTTTTCGAGATTTTAATTTATAGCCATTTCTTGTTCTGTAGTTGATAGCTATTTAATCTTGCTTGAATTATTGTACTTCTTGATTTCATTAATACATTAAATCGTTATTATAGCATATGATTTGTGTTTCAAAAATAAATTAAACTGTCTGGGATTGAATATAAAAATATTATAAAAATCATAACGTAATACAAAATCACATAATATACATAAGACCAAATATGTCAAAATATTTTTATTTTTTCTAATTTTAGAAAGAAGGCTTTATGTTAAGGGTGTGCAGTTGGATACCCTGCATATCCCCTGCGCATGCCTATGTCACTCTCTACTATTAACGAAGCTGCGTTTGTATGGTATTTCTGATCTCTTGTTATCCTGGTTCAATAGTTATCTATCAGATAGAACCCAGCAAGTTAAGATTAATGGTTTTTTGTCACATCCTTTTCCTGCTCCTTCTGGCGTTCCTCAAGGTGGACATATCTTTTCCTTACTGTTTGCCATCTTTATTTAGCATATTGGTTCTTGTTTTAGTTATTGTTATCACTTACTCTTTGCGGACGATCTCAAACTTTTCGCTAATGTTTCTTCGATCAAAGATTGTTATCTTACTCAAAAAGATCTTGATAATCTATATGTTTAGTATATTGTTAACGGTCTGAAATCAAATATTTCAAAATACCTAAAAATGTCTGTTTTCCGATATAGTGCTTCTTAAAAAAAGTTTTTAAGCGATTAAGTGCTGAAAACGTTCTTTCCGGAGTGAAAGAGGTAACTGGTAACGTGGCGAATAATTGTAAAAGTATTTTAATGTTAGGTCGAAGATTGGTGCGATGAGAGGGTGAATCAAGAGCAGAATTCGGTTTTGGAATAGTATTTTGACTCCATTGTTGCCTCCATATGAACAGGTCAGCCCTGATTGTAGATGAGGTATCATCATGGAGATCTTGGACATATATTTTAGCAGCTTTTATAATATTTATATCGTCATACATATTTAAATTGGCCGGAATAAGTTCTTCAAGTGGCATAACATCAATAAGCATTTTATTTAAACGAGCGTTGATTCTATTAAATAGTCAAGATACATTATACATATAAACACGGCCCATGGGGGAGGCTATAACCCCCTTAGCTCCCCTTGGCTACGCCACTGTATTTAGTTTAATTTCCTCCAAAAACTGCATAAGGACGTAACTATTACAATATAATATATAGTTTATATTAATTATGTATAAACTGTGGACCCCCCAGAAAAATTGAAAATACGCCACTGAGTCCACATCAAATCTATGATAAAGTATTTATTTCACTTGTACATTATATTTCTACACTCGTGAAAAAAATATAAATAGCTGTTATAAACATAGGATGGCCATAATAATAATATTTGATCAATCGTCTAGTTTTGTAATAAATAAAAATTTAACAATTAAATAAACATTCAACAATAGACAAATTAATATGGAAAATTACAAAATAAAATTGTATCCGATTACAATCTTATTATAACATTTATGACTAATTTATCATTAATACAGTCCTTGTCCTAATCTACCAAGATCATTGTTGAAAATTTTAGATTGAATATATTTTACTTTAACTATTTTATACTTGATTGCTATTCAAAAATGTTACAATTATCAATATCCATCAAATTTTTCCAAAAAATTTAAGCCAGGCAATCTATTTGATCCTTTAACTGGTTTTAGGGGGTGAAAATTCAACATCCTTTCTTCCATAAACCCATTTCAATGTGCCTCTTCGTTCTTGTTTTTATATAGTTTTGTGTATTGCATTTTAAAACATAATTTTTTTGATTTAAAAAATATAGTTGAGTACTTATAGGAATGTAGAATGTTGACGACAGAGTGGTAGGAGTGGAAGAATATGAAATATTAAAAAAAAAATGGCGTATTTTACAAATATAATATTCCAGGTTAAACTTGAATTAATTTATTTATTTTTATACTATTTGTTTATTTATATATTATAAAATATTGTTATTATAGTCCTTGCTTGAAAATAATTAATGCATGAAATTATAAAACACAAATTGTGATAGGTAACATAAATATTTTTATATAAGTAACTTAAATATATACTAATGAAAAAACTGTTTTGTGATAAATAAAAATTTGAATTTTTTTTTTTTTTGGTTTATAAAAATTTGTGTGTGTCTTACTTATAATTACGGGAATGAACGATTATTCATTTACACTTACTCTCCCCCGTAACCCTGTAATTATAAGACCGATGAAAATATATACTTTTCTACTTTGTAATAACATATCTTTCGACCAAATTTGTGTTTTGTAAGATTGTTAATTATACGAGTAATACCTACTAAGTATATACAAAATAGTACATTTAATATTGCTCTAAGTAAAAACTAATATTAAGATTAAAAAAAAATATTCTGTTATATACAGGATAACATCATGATCAATTGTACAATTTCAAATTATTCATTTTATAATGTTTTCAGTACCTTGTTGGAAAATACAAATAATTTTAGTTTTACCATATTTATTTAAGAACATTAAACATATTTTTGTTCATGCAGTCGAGCTATTGTGGACATATTAAGCAATTACCTATATCACAGAATATATCAAAGCTTTATGTAGATACCCTGTAGTAATAGTATATTATACAGATAGTAGTATATTAATAAATATCATTAATGAATTTTTGATGCCAAATTGTCTTGATATCGACTTTATTAATTACTATACAGAATATTGTTGCAACTGTTCATTTATTAGGTTATACCTAAATAGAATCAATAATTGTTTTAAGTCAGAGAAAACAATGATGTTCAGAAGCACTTACTAAGCGTAGGGATAAATATGAAATGTGCAGTAGAAAATTAAAAAAATAATTTATTTGAACACTATTAGATCGATTACATTAAAATATAAGTGTTATTATATGTGCAGTAGCAGAATACGTGAATATTAACCATTGTTTTGAAACTGCTAAAACGTAACAGAGACAGGGTCGAGCCAATAAACAACTGTTTAGAATTTATAATTTATATTAATTTAATACGGATAAAGTATAATATCCTGTAAATTCATATAGTAAAAGATCAGTGACTGAAATACGTTGTCCTTGGACTTAAAGAAACTAGTTCTGAGCAAAGAAATGCTGTATGTGCTCATTCTGAAGGAAACTATTGTGCAAGTGCTAAATCGTAACTACACGTACGTGAAATAAAAGATTAGGTACGCACGCCTTTTATAATCTATATTTTTATCTAACCCATTACTAGTTATATGTATGAACAGTATTGTAATCCTTATTATTTATTGTAATTGCGCCTTACGATGTACACTTGATAATGTTTTAATAAAGGTCATTATTGACTTAACTAGTGTCTAATTTATACGGTATGGGTATTTGACAAGTAAATAGCAGGATCTAGAAAAAAAAATAAGGCTTACAATGCTAAAATCATAAGACACGAATACAAGTGCTGTTCGAATCTAAAATATACGCAGACACGTGTCGTTGGTTTCTATGTAGCTGGTATAATCACGATACACGATACCCATGTTGTTTGTACATACTTAGTAAGTATACATAATCACGACATTCGCTGTAACGTTTTTACTTTCAAGGTATCAACAGTACACATTGTCGCGGTTTCGCCAAAGTACAATGCGAATATTAATTGTTTTCCCGAACACTGTTTATTAACCAAAAGGACAAAAACATCGACACGGAACTCTCATACATTTAATATAATCAGAATCGGGGTTACAAAATTTAAGGTCTAGGACAGAGGTGGCGAACCTGTGGCACGCATGCATATCAAAAGTGGCACGTTGATCAAATTTTAATGGCACGAGCAAAAAATTGAAATCATTAAAAAATGTATACAAAAAAAAAAAAAAATTATACTATTCATAAAATGTTGGTTATATAAAATTCAAAGAAACAAATTATATATTTTTATTATTTTTTTACTTTATTTATATTATTCTTTATATTTTATGTATTTTAAAAATGAATATATTCCTCATGTTTTCATATTTTTCGTTAACTTATGTTTGTAAAAGCCATAACGAATTAAATTAAATCGAAGGAAATACATTGTTTAACCAATGAAACGATTGCTGCTTGTATTTCACTAAGATTGACTAAAATTTAATAAAAATAATATTATAAATCTGTAATTTTATTTTCGTACTTAGAAAATATAATTTTCAAATCCTTAATTGGGAAAATTTGGCATTTGAACCAAAAAAGGTTCGCCACCTCTGGTCTAAGACATAATAAAAAATAATAAAAAATCGGTAATACGAAAACAAATATATAAAAATATAATAGTAAATTATTCAAATTTATGGTTTAATGTAGCTTATACACAAATTACAAATGATAAGGCATCTAATTTTCTTTAGTCGAAGTGACCTGTGAGTATTAATGATATTGATATTTCATTAATTTTTTCCAAAAAAGAAATAAAAAAAAATTGTTCACTAGAAAATGTTAGTACACAACATTGCCATAAATGTTTTTGAACCATCCAATTACACAATAAATCTAATTTAGTCAGATAGTAATTATGGTGTTTCAAACATTAATTCATGAAATAAAACTTTTTTTTTATTTTTCCTTTATTATTTTTATTTTTCTCTAAACTAAAATCCAGGTATTTTTAAGGTTACTTTTTTTTAAATAAGAATTACAACAGTCAACAATATACAAGTTAATAGGAAAATTACAAAATAAAATTGTATTCAATTACTGGCTTACCATAACATTGATGACCTCTTTATCATTAACACAGTCCTAGTACTAATCTACCAAGATCATTGTTGATAATTTTAAATTTAATACATTTTACTTAAACTATTTTATACTTAATTTTTATTAAAAATCTTACAATTATCAATATCCGTCAAATTTTTGCAAAACATTTAAATTAGACAATCAATTATATCCTTTAACTGGTTTTTAACTAACTTCTAACTGGTTTTTCAGGGGGTGAAATTTCAACATCCTTTCTTCCATATACCTATTTCAATGTGCCTCTTTGTTCTTGTTTTTATATAGTTTTGTATATTGCATTTTAAACATAAATTTTTTGATTTAAAAAAGATAGTTGAATATAGGAATGTAGATATGTTAATGTCAGATAGGTAAAAATGGAAGAATATGAAATGTTAAAAAGAAATTGTTATACTTTACAAATATAATACTACAATATATATCCATTTTAGGTTAAACTTTAATTAATTTATTTATTTCTATACTATTTGTTTATTTATTTATATACTATAAAATAAAATGTTATTATAGTCCCTGCATTAAGATAATTAATGCATGAAATTATAAAAACACAAATTGAGATAGGTAACATAAATATTTTGATGTAAATAACTTAAATATAAGCTAATGAAAAAACTTTTTGTTCTTAGTAATTTGTATAATAGATCACTCAAATAGTCTTTATAAGAAAATGTCAGTTGATAGTTTAATTATACACCATTAGTCAATTAGTGTATGATAACCAAATTTCATTAAAGCCATTTTGAATAGTTTTATTTGAACAAGTGGATAAAAAAATATTGAAAATACTTCACAATGAAAAAATATATTTATAATAAAAAACCTCATTACAATAAAATATTCAATAGTTCTTTTACTTTTACTCATAAATACATTTAAATACATACATATACAAACCAATATGATAGTTAACTTAAAATTACAATTTTATAGAGCAAATAAAAATCGACGAGCTTTAATTGCACCTGGTGTTGATCCTGGGCAGCCATCAGATCCTGCTCGGGCTTCAACTTCATTTATTAGGGCACTCACGTGCTCCAATACCTTGTAATAGGAAATAAGACAATATTTTATTTTAGAATTTTAATATTTGGCATATAATTTATAGTGCTTACTATTAAACACTGACAAGTTGAGTCCTGCATTTCAATACACAAATTACGACATTTTTCTGCTAAACTAATGGCTCGATCATAATAATGTAAATCCATATAATGATGACCCAAGTATAAGTAAATTTTGCTTAATATCAAATTCAACTCCATGTCACTTTTGTTTTTAAATGCCGTTTTTAAAGCTTTTTTATTCAATACATTGAAGTGATCCCGAGTTGTCTGAATACTGCTATCGCCATATTTTTCATAATATCTATAAAAATTAAATATATTATTTCAATTTAAAAATGTAAATATAATTTATAGCTTTGATTTTATTATTAGATAATATAAAAGTAAATATAGTCACACAATCAAGAATTTAACATAGAAGGTAAAACTTTTAAATTATTAATTGAATTATATAAATAAATAAATAAATAAATAAAATATGAATCAATATATATATATATATATATATATATATATATATATAATACATATATCAATTAGTAAAAGTTTACCTATATCGAGAAACATAATATAATTTTGATATCCAAATAGATAATTTAAATACACTAGTTAATCATTACAAATTAAATATTAGGTGTTTTATTAAAAATTGTTTAAGTACATAAAACTGTTAATTTGCTTACCTATATTTTTAAGTTTTTGAATATAAAAATAAAAATTGTGATTACTTTAAATGATTTCATGTTTTTTTCCTAAAATTTTAAGTTAGCATAAGTCCAGTGTAATATTATTATTTAAAAATATTATTTATATTATTTTTATTGTAGCAAGGAAATATTTTTTTAATTTTTTTATTTTAGTTTAATTTGCTTTTGTTAAAAAAAAACATTGCAGCAAAATAAAATATTGTTTTTAAATATACGAAGTCTGTTCAAAAAGTACCAGGATTTTTTTTTAATAATTACAAAAATAAAGTTACATATTATTTAAAGGTATCGCCTTCAAAATCGCCTCCAGACGATATGCAGAGGTTCCAGTGATCTTGCCATTTTTCGAAAGTCCTTTGGAACTGTTCTAAAGTTATAGCTTTGAGTTCTGTTACTGTATTCACTTTAATTTCCTTTATATCTTGAAACCCTTGACCTTTAAGTGCAGATTTTATTCTCGGGAAAAAAAATCGTATGGGGCTAGGTCAGGCGAATAGGGAGGGTGCGGGACCGCAGGTATTTTTTTTTCAGCCAAAAATTCACGAATTGACAACGCTGAATGTGTTGGTGCATTGTCGTGATGAAGATACCAGATCTCACTTCGCCATTTTTCTGGGCGCTTTTTACGAATTCTCTCTTGCAAACGTATTAATACATCTTTATAGAATACCTGATTGACTATTTGTCCACGGGACACAAATTCATAATGAAAAATACCTTCAATATCATAAAAAACAATCAGCATTGTTTTGACACTCGATCTCACTTGGTGTGCTTTTTTTGGTTGAGGAGAAAATTTTGTTTCCCACTGAGATGACTGTAACTTTTTTTCCCGATCGTAACTATAAACCCATGTCTCGTCCCCTGTGATGATGTTTTTTATGAAATTTATATCAGCAGATTGATTATTAAGGTCTTGACAAATCATTAAACGATCTTCGACATGACATTAGGATATGACGAAAACGGAGATCGAAGCAAGCTGACTAAAATTAACCATGTGTAATATTAAAATGAGTTAAGATAGCGACTTCGGGTTTTGTTCAAAATATTCATTAATATGTTGGAAATATATCTATTTATAATTTAAAATGTTATCATGCATAGATTAGCCGCAATAGCATTTGTCCTGGTACTTTTTGAACAGACCATGTACGTTTGGCTTTCTCAAAATATGTGAGCATGTAAATATTATTAAATACATTATAAAGAATGTAATTTTTAAATGTACAAATAAATAAAGACAATTTATTTAAATAATGATATAAAAATAAACTAAAAAATCTAGAGTAGCAATTAATATTTAATTATAATAGACCATTCAGTATATTATAATAAATTAATAACATATATAAAAACACATAATTATTGATTTAAAAATATACTTTAATTTAACATACTTCCAAAGCTTTAATAATACTCCTCCATCAGTATCGTAATGCAAGGCCTTATAGTAACAAGTCAATGCTTCATAAATACGATCTGTACGTTCAAACATTTCTCCTAATGCAAGTAACATACGGAAATCTCTAGGCCTTAATTCACGTGCATGGGTAAAATAAAATAATGCATAATTTGGCAACTTTACTAATTCATAAATTTGCCCTAGTCCATACCAAGCTCTGTAATCTCTTATGTTTATTTCTGCAAATATAATGAATATTGAGTTAAAAGTTATTTATCATACCTTAAAATAATAAATGTTTTAAATATTTAATAATTTCTTTAAAGTGTTCTTACTTAATGCTTGTCGATATGATATAATGGCTGCAAAAGAGTTTTTCATCTCAATATATTCATGGCCTAGTAGAGTCCAAGCGGTCACATTGAATGGATTCATTCTGACAGCTTTTTTAAAATATAAAACTGATTTAGCATGATCACATTTTAAACTATACATATTTCCTAAACAATATTAATAACAATTATATTATTAACAGTTATTTAAATATGAAAAATAGTAATAGTATAGGTGAGCAAGAGTTTTAAAATAATATGAAATACCTGTACCAAAAAAGTAATTTAAATTTAAACTATAAATTATTTAATAAATATAAATCTATAGCAGTATAAATGACCAATTTTAATATAAAATATTAAGGAAAAAAATACTTATTAATATAATTCAGAATAAAGTAAAATAATTATTTATAAGAATTGTTTTCTAATAAAAATAAAGATATGTATTTAAAAATTCACAATACAACTTATTAATATCATACCAAGGACACATAATGTTTCTTGACGGTACCGATCAATAGATGCAACATGTTTAGATAGGGCTATGAGTTCTTCACGATTATCAAAAACATACATAAGATTTGATAGCAGATCAAAATTATCTATCCTGTATGGATCTAATTTGATAATATTAGTAAATGATACTACTGACTTTTTAATTTCTGTGTAAATTACAATTTGTTAGAAAATATAATGATGTACAAATTTAGAAAGTATTAAATAAAAATGATTTTACCATTTTTACCTCGCTTATTGTGATGAGCAGTAGCCAATTGGGAATATAAATATGGCCAACTTTTAAAAGCTATATGACCTTTGTTCAAAATGTCATGGTATATATCCACACCTCGTTCAATTATTTGAAAATCAATTAATACATGTGCAATAAAAAGTAAGTGCATCCAATGATGTTCATTGTTTTCTAAGAGCCGTGAATTTAATTCATCAAGCTGAAACATTAAAAAGCTAAATAAATAACAATCAAAATAAAATTTAATTGGAGTGATTGTTAAATAGTATTAATTAATTAATTTTAATATGTAATTACCATTTTTACATCTTTAATTAGTGTTGAAAGTTCAATCCAAGCACCCCAGTGACATGGTTGTAAACGTATTGCTCTAATTAGTAATTCTACAGCTTCGTCACATCTATCAATTCTTTTCAACATAACTGCAGTTAGCCATAACAAATATGGATCTTCTCGTTTAATTCGAAACTCGGTAGTAGATGTATTTGGTTCAGATTGAGAAGCTGATGAACTAATTTTAGCTTTTTTAGTTGCATTGTTGCGTTTAGTATTCTTAACATTTTTTTTCCCAGCAGTTGTACTTGGTCTTTCAATTCTTTGATTACGAGGTCGTCTACTACATCTTCTGCCTTTGGGTGTAGAATCATCCTCTAGCTGTATATAATTATTTTGATTGTTAGTTTCTAATTCAAGCATCTCTTGAATTGGAGGTTCGCCTTCAGATTCTTCATCAGAGTCATCTTCAGTTCCATATACATTGAGTATTAGAAGTTCATCCAACAATTCCATAAATTTACGCATATTCAATGGTTTATATGAATCAAATATGTTAACACGCTCATATATAGATTCATTATGCATACTTAAGTATCTAGCCATGTAATGTAAAAACATAGATTTACTATTATTTGTATATTTTGCCACATGTGCGCAACTAAAAATAAAATTTAAAAAAACATATTAAAATACACAACATAAAAAAAAAATGTAGAAATTATAATAAATATATAATTAATCACCCTGGATAATCTTCCAAATCAAAATAGGCACGTGCTTTGGAATACACAAGATAGTCTTCTAAATTGGAGAATGCTGGTTCTAATTCAAAACGTAAATAATTACTATTTTCATTTTTATAATCGAAAAATGGAGGTATATCTTTAAGTGTTACCAATAACTCTGATAAACTATAACAAAAAATAAGTAGATACATTTTTATTTGTTCACTGATTAATACACAATATTTCCTGACTATGATCATGTATACTGAGAATATACAATTATATAAGACAATAAGTAATCCAGTGATTACACTTTATATTAGACTTTTTGATACTGTAATTTTTTTTTTTTTATAATTATATGAGTATAATTTAATACTGTTAGCATACTTGAATTTTCAGTACCTAGTTCATAAAAGTAATATCAAAAAGTACTACAAACAATTAACCTGATTGATATTTACATATTTTTTTAAATTATTGTCACTAACTATTAAATTAAATACAATATGTTTAATATCAATTATTAAATATGAGATTTGAAAGTAGATACATTCATAGAAAAGGTCATTTTCATAAAGTTTTCTGCACATATTTGGTTTCTGGTCAATGATTTTTAATGTCTAATAGTAGAAAGTCTATCAATAGTAGGATTATATTTTGTTAAATAGTAGATTAATAGTAATAGTAAATAATAATAATAGTAATTTTAAGTAGACATTTTGTAACTAGACTTCTCGACTGTGCAATATATATTACAATATTTTCTCTTAGTATTTTTATGTACACAGTAAATTTGAAAAATATAAAATAAGCTATAAGTGAAATAAAATAAAATACAATAAGATATAATGGTCTTAACACATTAAATTATGAAGACTATTAAAGTTTTTAAAGCAATTAACGTTGCCATAGATATTAAGATAAAAGGAGGAAGTGGAAGAGGTAGTTGGACGTAAATAGAAAATTATATGAGGACAGCTGGTGAATATAAATATGCTGCATACCAAAATTGTTTGAAGCTTAAACAAAGGAAATATTTTATAAATATTAACATTAGCATCTCCTGTTCTATTATATATATATATAAAAGATATAGCTAAAGGAAAAATAAATACTTACAAGGAAATAAATTTAATGTAAATAATATAAATTAAAATTTTAACTATTTAACACTAACTACAAAATTATTTGAAAAATGGCAGAGACTAAAAGATAAGTTGTAATTATTAAAATTATTTCTTATATACTACAATTTTATTTATTCTGTGCAGCAACTACTTACAATTTAGTACCATAATGTAAACATCTGTCCCTGCATTCTTGTAGAGTATACATAATTTCAGCTTTCATGACAACCGGTTCTTTGAATTGCTCATAATATTGTGAATACATGGTGGGAAAATTATTTATGATTTAAAATAAATTTCTGTTCGTACTCTGTCGTAATAAAATCTTACAATTGAGAATATTATAGATATTGCCTATAACATATTCAAAATAAAATTCAACAGTAAATGTTCACCGCTAATTTCGATAACAACAATGGTGATAAGCATTATTACGAAAAATGATTAGAAGTACGGAAAAGATATCTGAGTAGTGACAACTAATGCCAACAAGTATCATATTTATTACAATAATTTATTATTTAGCATTTGTATGGAATCCATATATTCCTGATTGTAATTCCACATCACGGGACCAAGGTAACCAAAGCACATGTGAACGAATGTTGATAATTGCTTTCGGTGTTATCCAGTGGCGCACTGGGGAGTTCAAGGGTAGCAGTAAGCTACCTCTGATTTTTGGTTTTGGGTAGTTGAGTGGACTCCTGGTCCCAAAATATCTACCAAGGTTTATAGATAATAATTATATATATTATATATACCCCAAAAATATTTTTTAGTTATACCACTGCTTTTATGTATATAAAGGTACATTTGCGGATGACACTGATATTCTTGCGATCGACAATGATCCAAGCAATTCTAAAAATTCAAAACCACCTTTCTGTGCTAAACACCTGGTTCTCAATTAAAAAATCAAATTTTAACCCAACTGAATCCGCTCAAATTAATCTAACACTCCCTTAGAATGTCCTCCAACGTTTATCGATAATGCACAAATTCCATTTTCTACTCAAATTAAATACCTAGGGCTAACGATTGATAAATGCCTCACTTGGGGTTCACACTTATTAAACAAACATAAAATCTTTAATTCGAGACTTTACCTTCTAAGACCTCTACTTCGCTAGAAGCTTTCACTCAAAATCTAACGAACAATCTACATGGCTCTTCTAAGACTCATCTGGTACTATGGTATTCAACTTGAGGCTCAGCCAAACCATTCAACATTAGAACAATACAGGCAATTCAGTCTATTTGCCTACGTTTAATATCAGGTGCTCCCTGGTACATCTTTAATGACACACTACATAAAGACATTTGCATTTCAACTTCAAACAACAATCTTGCTACGTTTACTTAAAAAAAAACACATAACTTTCAATACTCACTCAAATACCTTAATCACTCAACTTTCATCCGAACAAATCTCAGGTAACCTACCCAGATGCCTTAAAAGGAACTAGTGTAGGGACCTACTCTCTTCCTACAACATTTTTTATAGTGTCACTAATGGGCGTCTTCCCTCTTATCAATCAAATCATATCTAATTTACTTATTGTATAACATGTAAATACAGATTGCAAAAATTTTGTTTTTCTTTTTAAAAAAAAAATTAATACTCACCTATTGGCTAATAAAAAGGTAAATGAGAAAATATTGAAGTATTTTATCATCCATAACATCACTAATAATTGAAGATATTTGCCATTAACAGCAACATATTAAAAAATGCTGTATTATATAAATTTCTATTTGTTTACAAAAATATATAACAGTCCCACCCTGTGTATATAAATATAATTATTAAGCATTACAATAATAATAATTATATTTGTTTTGTATAAATTGTATTTGTAGTAAAAAATTTTTTTATAATTATTTAAATATAATTATATTTGATAATTAGTCGAGAACTTATTTGTAGTTAACTATTAAGTGACTTAGAAGCAACATAATTCAAATACAGCAGTTTGTACATTATTCTGCACTATGTTAATAAACATTGTGCTAGTGTTAACTTGTTAAGTTATAATTAGTAGTACATTGCACACTACATATTAGGTATTGTGATTAAATTCAGCAAGACAAGCATATTTTAATTTTTAAACATCACTTTTTATTGATTTTAACATTTTAAATAAATAACAAAATGACATTGTATCAAAAAATTTTTAATGACCCCTTACAAATTAATAAACGATAAACAATTAACAAATAATTCCAAGGATTTCTACCTAGTTGTAGTATAATAGGCCAGTATTACACTAGTTTGACAAACCATACCGATTGGCAAGAAGTCAGTATATACCTAACAAAAATATTTGTCAATTTATTGATGACGAACCAGTAGAATATCAAATTTACTCTATAACTGTGAAATATTGGAGTATATGAAAACAAAACTTTTAAGGTACATATTTTTGATATTATTCAGTGGAATAATAAAATAAAAACAAAAAATGGAGTAAATAAAGTATTACTTGGATTTATATGGGAGTTAATTTTGAAAATACTATTTTTTTTTTTTTTTATAATTAATAAAAATAATTAGTTAATAATATCTGGTTAAACTGAGTATGTAAATTAGTAGTATAATTTAATATATATAATTTTAAAATAAAAAGACAAATTTTTAAAGGTTCATAAAAATTGCTTGGTGTGGTTTTCATACGACGTCAGTCACTTTTTTCTGGGACACATTATATAATTGATCCTTAACAAAAATAATATGCTTTTAGATTTTATAATTTTTAAAATATAAGATTAAATATTATTAGTAAATTAAACAAATATCAGTCTTAAATTTTTCTTAAAAAAAAAAAAAACTAGTAATTATTAGGTTATAATAAATATTTTTTTTTTTTTTGTAATGAAATTGAACTTTCATTATAAAATATTTATTTTCTTTTTCTTTTTTAATACTCTGTATTTTACTTTTTTCCAGCAAATAATTTAATTTATGCTGGAAAACACAAAATATCTGAAAGAGAACGAATATCTGATTTTCGATTGTATTGATCATCTGGAACAATAATTTGACCTCTGGCAAATGTGACCATTACTTGCCTAAAAAAGAGCAAGAGTTAAAAAGTTAGAAATATATAAATATAATTAGTTTTTTTTTATTAGATTAATAAGAATAATAAATTATTAATTAAATACTATAAATATATGAAAAAATTTAAGAAATATATATTTTTCTTTATGTTATATATTTTTATATATTATATTAAATATTGTTCTTTATGTCTATGAGATTTAGAATTAAAGATTATTATATTTTAACTATTATTTTTTAAGACTGAATAACAAATTAAGTATAATGATTAATGTTTTTTTCAAAGATAGCGTGTCTATGTAAGAAAAATTGGTGTCGCAGAATACAAATTGCCTTTTGAAGAATAGTCTATAGTCTAGAGAAGTGAACAATTTATTAGTAGAGGACGGAAATCACATGAACTGTTCTCCTATTAGGGAGAGTTTAGTAAGAACTCTGTTTGATTCCTAAATAAAAGTTGTTTAGTTTAGGTAATAGATTATGCTCAAGCTTGAATCTCCAGTATAAACCTATAAAAGATTGGCTTATGCTGATATTGTTGAGCCCGGATTTACAATGAATTTTAAGAGATTTGTTTATACCCATACTAACCATACTAAGCTGGAAGGTTTGTCTATTCTAATTCCCATATTTTATGAATAGTTTGATGATGAAGGGGATTTAAATACAGGTGAGCTAGGCATGAGGATATTGTTAATGGAGCTTGAAGTTGACGTGTTCATTCTCTTGAATACCGATGTATCGCAGACACCATAGGAAAGAAATATAATATATGTGTTAGACTTTAACAACAAAAGGACAAAGTGAATTTTAAATATTATTGGAGAACTAATTTTTGTTTTATTTTATTATTTTATTATTTTATTATTATTTATCATAATAATAGTTTTAATTTTTATCTACAAAAAGTAGTATCAAATTATAATTGTAAAACTAAAATTATAATTGTATGTTTTAATATATATATTTCATGAAAAATTACAATTTGTTTATTTTTTTAATAATATGATAGTTAGAACAGTAATATAAATTATATAATTTACCGGTTTCCAATGATTTCTTTAAAAGCTTCGCTTTCTTCATATAAATCTCTATAATTATCATTTGAAACAACTACTCCACCACATTGATGAGCATGGTTGAGAATAATTCTAAAGAATATAAAGAATTAGAAAATAAAATAATGAATTATTTAAATAATAAAAAACAATTATATTATTGAACTTAAAGTAATTTTATTTTAATGAAAGATATATTTTTAGAAACTGTCTATCATGCTATGAAATATTATTTTAAACAAAATAATTTTCAGCTGCATCATAAGTCCCAATCAAGTTTTTTGCCCCTGTTAAGTTTATAATTAAATTAAATAAATTGGAAAAGTTTATTGTTTTAGTTTTTAAGAATTATGGTTTTTTTTATAGGTATACAATATACAGGTATGCAATATTCTATTTAAAGAACTCCATAACCACTACTGCTTCCATTTTATAAATTTATAATATAAAAATCTGTAGAACCAAATTTGTGTTTGTTTTAATATTAAAATGAAAAAAAAAGATAATAAGATTATAAATTAGTTTATTTTAATTATAAAATAAACTAACTTATAATCAAACTTAAAGACAATAACATTATTTGTGTTTTCTGATAGACTTTTTTTTATAATACTTTAATTTTTAAATGAGTTATGAGTATGTAAAATATTAGAATCTCAAAAATCTCATAGCTTTATAATGAAAAAAGTATATAAGTATAAAATATAAAAGAGAAGACAATATTGAGATTTTGTTAAAAATATTAAAATAATAAAATAGTTACTAAAATATAATTATGAGTTACATAAAACATTTAAGGTTAATTATTTCAAACATTATATGAAACACATGAGAATCACATCAATGAAAAAAAATCATCAGCTTTTTTTGAATTTAAATATGTAATTTGTTAACTATAAGATTACCGGTCATCATAACAAGTCATCCTTAAATTTTCAACTTTTCTGCTAGGTGTATAACAAATATGTCCTTTTTTAACTAGCTTATTTAAAATGATATTTGATTCAGACCCTGGTGGTCCCTGTCGATGTTGTGGAAGAAATGCTAATATATCTTTATGTCCACGATTAGCAAAAAATTGTATACATATTTCAATACCTTTTACTGAAAAAATTCCTGAACCATAACTGAAAAAAATAAATAAAATTATAGTAACAATTCAAACAAATGATAATTAAAGAAATTTAAATGGTTCTACATCAATTTCTGTTTCACCATGAAGTATTAAATATACTTTGATTAATAATAAAAAAATAATAAGTTATAAAATGTAGATTATAACTAAAAATGGAAGAAAAAATGTATAAATTATCATTAGATACAATTATATCTGTTATTTCCCTAAAAATTTGATCAGTATAATTTTCTCTCAGTATTTTTGATTAATCATCCCTGTATTAAATTTATTAAATATTATTTTAATTTAATTACATTATACAAATATTATTGCAATGAAATAATTGAGTGAATTAATTTAAATTAATGAATAAATACTTACGCATGACCAATATTTAAACCATCAATGACAATTGGCCTTAGCTGTCTAGCAACTGTAGAAGTTGTATCTGGTGAAGGTTTTTGTAACTGAGGCATTGAAGGAACATTTACAGTACTTTTAAATTGATATGAATCACATTTTTTTGAATAATTTGAGATTCTTTGTTTATCAATAATGAATGCACCTAAGTTGATTGGTAAATGATTATCACTCGATTTACCTTTTAAATGTTTTCTATTTCTTAAAGGACTATTGTATTTTTTTTTCATGATACCTTTTGAACTATTAGGAATACTAAGGTGTTTTTCTATAGATTTAAGACCTATAGGTTTCTTAACAGATGTAAGATGTATTATGTTTTCATCATCATCACTATCATCTGATATAATAATTTCAATTGGATTATGTTCAATAATTTGAATATCATCATCATCATCATTAATACTAAGCATGCACTTAGATTGAAGAGAATTTACATGTTCATTTACATTATTAGAAATAATGGTTGTATCAGTTAAATCAATTATACCATCATTTTCTAAATTTAAGTTAATTTTTTTAGAATTTTCATAATTACTGTCATAAATAGTTGAATTAGTGATATCTATGACATCAATACTTGTATTAATTGCCATTTTTGCTTTGGAATCGACAGTATTCATATTTTTAAGTTTATCATTAAGAGGAAAAGAATTATCTTCAGTTTCTATCACCTCAATTGAAGAATTAACATTTTCATTCAATTCATTATTGATTTGAACATGCTTTGTAAGTTTTTTTGTTTTGGCAAGAGTGATATTAGTTTTAGACTTGCGTGTTTTTTTTGAGGAATTCAAAACCTGCGTAGGGACTGAACCTATATTCTTGGTTTTCTTCCTCAATACTCTTCCCATGATCTGTAAAATATTCATATTAAAAAGAAATACTACATTTTTTAGTTTTTTAAAATGTATGTTAAATTAGCATAGTTAAATAATAATTTGATTTACAATAAACTACAATTAAAATGGAAAATAAATTTTATTCTTTTAATTTAAATCTATTATTAATTTGTAAATCAAATAATTATTTCATAAAAAAATCTATATGCAATAAAATGAAAAGAAAATATTAAGATTTTTTGCTAGGATTTACTTAAAAATTCTTTTATTAATAAAAAATAATAATTTATAATGTTTAATAATAAAATAATTTAAAATTAATAACATGTAAACATAATTATATCTAAGCCTAAAACATAAGGACAATTTTTTTTCAATTAAATAGATAATCCTAATATTGAGTTTAAAAACTAAAGGAGTATTTATATTTTTATAGATTTATAGATATAGATATTTTTATATTTTTTCTGTGGAAGGGAATCAGAATACTTCCATGATTCCTTAGTCAGTCGTAAGAGGTGACTAAATGAGGTTGCATCAGGTTGACAGCCGGTGTAAAAATGTTGTCAAAGAGTATGAGGAGTCCACAACAAAACTTAGGCAGTTTATCCAATTTTGGATATACATGGCGACAACGTGAGGAAGTATCATAGTTAATGGTAGGATGGAGGAGGCCAAGACAAAGCAGTGTGTGATACCAGCCGGACAATTAGTCTGGTAGCTGTTTCACCAGTTGTGTTCAGGTTTACTCAACACGGCTTATGTCAATGGTGTAGGAATATTATCATTGCACGCCGGGTTAAATCTGCATCTAGGTATGATAGATAGGTATTAAGTGGGAATAGATACATGGAATGTTGGAGCATTAACAGGCAAAAGTAGAAAATTATCAGAAGTATTGAAGAGAAGAAAAGTTAATATTTGTTGTGTTCAGGAAAGTGGAAAAGAACGAAAGCAAAAGAAATAGAAGACGGCTATAAAATAATATATTCAGGTAGAAGTGGTACTAGGAATTAGGTTGGATTAATATTAGATGTGGAGATGAAAAGTAAGGTAGTTGACGTAGGAAGAAAAAATGATAGAATTATTACGGTAAAATTGGTATTTGAAGAAGTATTATACGTAACAAGTGTGTATGCACTACAAATAGAGTGTGAAGTAAGGAAAAAGATTGATGAAGCAATGCAAGGAATACCAGAAAATGAAGATGCTGTGATTGATGATGATATAAATGGACATGTAGATAGTGAGATAGTAGACTATGAAAGAATGCATGTAAGTATGAATTAGGCAAGAGGAATGAGACTGGAGAAAGTTTTGAATTTCGCATTATCGTATGAGCTTGCAATAATCAATACGTATTTTAAGAAAAGAAAAGAGCATTATACAACATATAAGAGAGGAAGAAATAGGTCACTGATTGATTATTTTAAGTGGAAGAGACAGTATAAAACAGTGGTTTCCAACCGGAGGGAATTTAGTTGACTCAGGGGGGAATATGGTGATGATAAAATCCAAAAGAAGCTATAGAGAGTATTCAATAGAATGAAGGATTGATTAGTTTAGTTAGTGAGGAAGAAGTGAAGGATGCGGTGAAGGCAATGAAAAAGAAAAAAAGCAGTAGGATCAGATGGAGTGCCCATAGAAGTGTGAAAAATTTTAGGGAATGTAAGCATTAGATGATTGAACAATTGTTTTAATAAGGTGCTAATAGAAAGAAAAATGCCAAAAGATTGGAGAAAGAGTTTTATTTTACTAATATTTAAAGGCAAAAGAGACATACAGAAATGTGGGGATTATAGAAGAATAAAACTTATGAGTCATAGTATAAAGATTTGGAAAAAAATGATAAAGAAGAGAATAAGAAGAGAGGCAATAATATCAGAAAATCAGTTTGGTTTTATGCCAGGAAAATTGACAATGGAGCCATTATTTTGTGTTAGACAACTAGTAGAGTAGTATAGAGAAAAGAATAAAAAACTATGCATGATGCTTCTAGATTTCGAAAAATCATATAACAGAGTGCCAAGACATGTTTTAAAGTGAACAATAATGAGAAAAAAGGTTACCAAGAAGTTGAGGAGAAGTAAAATTAACATTGAAAGGAAAAGACTATGGAAAAGAGTAAAATTAAAAAAGAGATAATTGGATACAATTTAGAATGGTATGAGGGCTGTTGGTGTGTGCGTAGGGGATATAGAAAATTGAGATGAGTGGTGGTTTAGAAGAAAGGTAGCCGACTCCAAATAGTTGGGAGAAAAGCAAGAGAGAAGAAGAAAATAGATGGTTTAATTTTTTAGATATCTCGATTTTATTATAATCCAAAAGTTAAGGTATTGATAAGAAGCAAAATAAAAACAAATTTTATTATTTGTTATTAAAATATAAGTATACATGTCTAAGATTAAAAATACATACTAGAAGTAATAATTTATTAATAGCAATTAAAAATGTCTAATATTTAAATAAAAATGATCTAGTGTAGTATTAAGCAATAGGATGTTTATACATATGAACTATTATTAGTTATTAATTATTGTGAAATAATATTATGCCTACAATGCACATATATACCTCTAATATAAACTATATTAATACTAAGTAACAACAATTGTGTAAGAATATTCAATCAACATATTTGTAAGCAAGTTTAAGTAAAACAAAAATATATATTTTGAAAGTACTGTATTATAAAAGGGAATGGGGACATGAAAATAAAGGTTTTCCATGGTGTATGTGTGACTTGAGTACTACAAAAATATATGCACTATATTAAATGTTACTTTAATTCAAATTATTTGTTTGTGTTTATATGTACGATTTGATCAGCATAGATGACACTTATCAACCAATAGTATAGTGGTTTCCAAACTGTGAGGCACGTCTCCCCAGGGAAGATAATAATAAATTAAAAAAATATCAAATATATACTTATTTTTATATCGACAGTAACTTGCTTTTATTAAAATAATAAAAAAATTTTATTGTATTTATTCATGGAAGGTGCGATTAAATTTTTTTGTTTTAGGGATGCATGAACCAAAAGTTTGGGACCCGCTGCTCTAGTAGAAAATAAATTATAAGTAAATAAAAGAAAATAATAATATTATACAGTGAAACTCGCTTAAGACGCTCTTTAAGGGACCAGCTCTCTAGAGCGTTTTAAGCGGGAAAGTGTATTATGCGGGATTGGAAAAAAATGAAGTGATTGAAATGTGGAGTTAATTTTTTTATTATTGAACATAATTTAACGGGCAATACACTAATAAATTATGTATGTATTTGTAATTAAATACATGGGTACATATATTTTTTGCTACTGAATTTAATTTAAAAAAAAATTATTATTAAATATTTTATTATTGTTTATTTAAAAATTGATATATTTCTGTTTGTTTACGATACTAACAATGCGTCTCAGCAAGAAAGTTTTCTATTTTGTTAAGATAACTCAACATTTTTTTGAAATTATCTACAGAGGATAATACTTTTCGAATTTATGTTAGGTGTTGCAACCCAGCAGTAGTTGTAGGAGTAGATACTGGATAATAATAATAGCTGATGATAAAATAGGCATAGTGATACAAAACAAAATGATACAACAATAAGAACACGTAAACAAGTAAAATTTCTATTTTTATTCCCACAAACAGAGTTGGGCAAAAACAAATCAAAATAATGAATAAAAAATAAAAGCCTGAATAACTCATTTATTTATGAATAAAGAATAATTTTTTATTCTGAATAATTGTGGTGTACTGAATAAAGAATAAAATTATTCTGAATAGTTTTATTCGTTAATAAAACAATTATTCAGAATAAATTTATTCGTTAAAATCATGAATGATATTAAATATAAAAGTATAATTAATTTATTTCTGTCAATTATTATATATATTAATATGTATGACCTTTATATATATTATTGAAGTCTAAATAATAAGTATATTATCACTATACATCGTTATTTTGGATTTAAATTTATTATTTATATGATTATAGGGAATAACGAATAACGAATAATAATACAAATTAAAATAATGAATAAAAATAAAAATCAATAATAAAATTAAGAATAAATCAATAAAGAATAATTTTTTATTCAAATAATCAATCGAATAATATTTTATTCGACTAATGCCCAACTCTGCCCACAAACCTAATAAAATTTATCATAATCTGCTAAACAAAAGAGTGTTTTATCTAATAAGATAAAGAAAAACCGAGCGTCTTAACAGGTGGTTTTTACATTGACTAGTATAGGAAATGTCTAGGGACCGACAAAAAATAGCGTCTTATGCAGGAACGTCTTAAGCGAGTTTTACTAAAAAAATAATAATATAAATTCAATGATACATTATATCATTGAATATATATTTTCAAATGTATAATCATGATTATATTTACTATAATATTCTCATATCCAATAAGAATTATCAATCTTTTAAATACAAACTAAATTTTAGAAACCATACCCATACTTCTTTTTAATTGAGCAATTGTAAACTCCCTTAAAAAATACAATAGTAAATTCCCCTAAAAACATTTTGTTACTAAATTATATGTATATAAATATTGTAAATTCCCTGAAACATATTGTTACTGAATTTATGCTAATTACATTATATTAGGGATTTATATTTTTACTTTAGAATCATTTGGCCTTATCCAGAGAACACCACTTGGAAGTAGTTCCATTGTTCTCCAAAAATTGTTTTTTCAGGTATGAGCATTTTTATATGTATATTTGTAGCTATATCATTATATAATTTTTTATAATACCTATTTGTTAATAGTTCTTGTTAGTTTTGTGATATTAATGTTTGAATAAGTAATAGTGTAAAACTGATTTTATACATTAGAACTTAGTAACTATTTGTTGTTTATAATTTTCTTGTCATATTTTTGTGTACTTCAGTGGCGGACGCAAGGAGGGGTTTTGGGGGTTCAACCCCCCCCCAGAAAATGAATGGATGGTTAATTTCAAACGTAGTTATCCTACCTTAAGTACTTTAAAAAAAATGAATTGTTCAAAATATGATTAAAATATGCTAGAAAAAAAATGTTTTGATAAAAAAGTGAATTTGTAATAATTTGTAATTTTCCAAACGTTCTAAAAGGTAATGGTACTTAAAACTCAAATTTTTGAAATTCCATGATGGCAATACTTTGTAAAAATAATGCGTGTTAGTAAGTCGCTTATTATCAGTAAGTAAAAATAAGTAAATATATGTAATCAATATAATATTATTTACAATGGTACATTATGATTGACGGGTTTCCCTAAATTTTGTGTTGTATGGTCATGTGATGACGATCGACAACAGTCAATTATTTCAAAATAACGGTAATCAGGCCCGTATTTAGGGGGGCTATGGATAGGCACATGTCCGGGGGTGTCAAGTCTCAGGGGCGGCAAAATATTTTAACAAAATTAATTTTAAAAATGATGTACCTAGTGAAAAAAATAAATAAATAAAAAAATAAAAATAAGAAAATAGTATATTTTATTATGTTATAATTTGTTTAATTTGTTAATTAAATAAGTATTAAACGATTTTCATTTATAAGTTGTATTTTAATATTAAAGAATCTTGTTTATGGATGATATAATATGTGTTATATTATTATTATTTATTTATTTTTTTTTTTTTTTGGGGGGGGCTAATAAAATAATATGCCCGGAGGCACCAAATTTATAAATACGGGCCTGACGGTAATTATTCTTATTTTTCTAAACCCTCCCCGAAATTTTTTTCTGCGTCCACCCCTGGCGTACCTAAATGTATTATGAACGTTTATGATATGGTCCATCCTTTCAAATTGTAGGGTTTTAAAATAATAATTTATATTTTATAGTGGCATAATGCAAGAGTATGTTTAAATAGGTTTATTTGTTAGAATATAGAAACATGTTCGTTGTACAAAAATAAATTTACACATGAATTACATTGAAAACCAAGGTTTACAAAAATATTTTGTTTAACACAAAATAACATTAAAGAGAAGTCTTTTATAGGGCATTTTCAATTTTAAGTTTAGGGGAGTTTACATACGTGTAATTCAGTAGCAAAATATTTTTAGGGTAATTTTCAATACATTAGGAGAGTTTACATTTGCCCTTTTAATTGTCAAACATAAATATTACAGATAAATTATTAAACTACAGCGATTTTTAAATGTTTTCTATTGCAGAACATGACTATAAATTATTATAAATCATGGCACAATTTGGGCGTAGATAATGTTTGATTGGTAAAATTAAATACCTTAAATTTTCAAGACAATTACTATAAATTTTCATAAACTTTTAATTTTGACTTTATTAAGAGGTCAAAAGTAAACATTTTTTAACTGTTGTAGATATTTTAATTTACTGCTTAAAATTATTGTATAGATTAAGAAGTACTAATGGTAAATTAAAAAATAATTAAATCTGTTTAAAAGTCAAATATTAACTTTTTAAGTAGGTAGTTCTGAAAAGAACTGATGATGGTCCTTAAAAGGACCCTTTAATAATAAATACATTTTAATAAATTAATATTTATTAAAAATGAGTCAAACCAAACACATAATATAATTAATTAGGTAACCAACTACATAAACCAAGTTTACTAAGATTATTACAAGTTAAAATTGATTTAATGATAATAAAATGTAAATTTATCCAAGTTAGTATACAATCATTATTAAAAAAGAAAAGTAAGGAACCTTTAAGTTTGTATTAATTAATTTATAAATTCATATATAAATTGCATTTACCAACTTTATTAAAAAGTTAATAGATACCAAAGTTCATAATTAAAAATTGAATAAAAAAAAAAAAAAATGTGTTTCATTTCTAGTTGGTATTACATAATAATAGATTGAAACTAGTACACATATGATTAAAAAAAAATGTTTTATAGTTAATAAAAATTGGAGTATTTTTAATTTATGGAACTTTCCTCCTTTATTTTTTCAAAACCTAAGAATTTCATAGTTTTATAAACTATTATCAAAAAAATTCTGTGGAAATTAATATTTGTAGAGTTAGAAATTTGCATAATTTTGATTTACTCCTTATAACAGGAATGCGGAATCTTATTTAATCCACGACCCTTAAAGTAATTTATTTCAAAGAACTCCCTCTTAATACCAATATTTAATAAATGTAAAAATAATTTTATTAGTATGAATTAATTTTAGGCAATTTTAATATTTCTTTAATTTAATTAAATAAAAAACAAAAAATAAATAAAATAAATTTAAATTTTATAAAAATAAATATTAAATAGTATAAAAAAATATACATAAAATGTAACTTTTTCATTTGTTGTTAAATTATTATCGACCCCCTAATAAAATTTGGCGATTCCTAGATTGCTTACTTACTGCCACTACATTAAACAACCAATATTTCATTACATGGATAATTACTATTAAGACGTAGTAGAGAAATTCAGAATAGAATCTACATGTTATGAGTCCAATTACCGAAGTTAATTTAAAAATTACATTCTTATTTTCAATTTTTTTAGGAGTGCCGTAATGAAAATTACTTAGTCTTAGATTTTGAGATTTGCCTAGCATGGTTTTTTATAAAAAAATTGGGGGATATTTTTGTGGTAGAAGCAAGCCAATACCTACAATTATTAAAAAGTTATTTTTAACACATTGATAAGAAACATTAGAATTTGTAACCAGTAGATATTTCTATTTCTATCTTTCCGTTTCACTAAAATATTAATAATCCTAACAGTAGGATATTAATTGTATATGGGACAGATTAAAATTAAAATTATTAAAATAATCAAATTCATAGGTTTCAAGAAAAAAAGGATTTCCTGTAAAGATAGATTGTACCCTAAGACTCTTGGTCAAATTATACAATTATTTTTCATTATTTTTCAAAACTATAAAAATATGTTATTTTGAGTATATAACATTATCTGTTAAAATCAAATTAAACTATGAAATACTCTCTTTGACTTTCAATTAAAATATTATAAATTATTAACTATTTAACTATGAATCTTACTCAAATTACCTAATAATAAAAACATTTTTGAATAAAAGAAAATAAATACAGTAAACTCTTGATTATCCGTGAAATAGGGTGACATAGCAACTACAAAAATTCCACTAAACTGAAATTGAAACAAAAATGCAATAATAATATTATTAAAAAAATTCAATATAAATAATTTAAAATAAATTAAATACATTTAAATTAAATAAGAACACCTTTGTATTTAAAGGTACATTTGATAAGACATAAAATATTTATAACATTAATTTTTTGACAAGTTAATGTTTTTTTGTTAGAAAACACAACTAACTCAACTGTTATGATGTATAAGTGTTTTATAAATAAAGAAACATTATTTTTTTGTATTTACATCACAAACGCATATTTATTCTATAACTTAGGAGTGCTAAAATGATTTACCTTAAGGTGATCTGTGGGGGACAAATCCCTGAAACTCCCTACATAAACTTGGCACACAATGTTTTAGTTTTACTATTTAATTATAAATTTAGTAATTTTCTATGTTATAACCAAATAGTAATAAAAGAAAATTTATCCAAAAGAAAAAAAAAACTAAATAGTATTAATAAACATCATTATTTTTTTTATCAATTATCAATAAGGGATCTAAATTGTAAACAAAAACAAAATTCTATAGTATTCCGGTAATAAATATTAAAAATAAACATACTGCCATCACAATAGCACATCTTTTACAAACAGATAATACGACAAAGCTAAATATCCAGTACTCCTAATGCATTCATACATGTATAATATATGTACATTTTACATCTGTGGTATTAATGTATTACCAATGAAAATTGAAATAAATTCACTTTCATAAATAAAAAATTATCCTTTTTAAAGCACCCCCTAAATGCGCCAATTATTTACATATGTACAATATGTACATAGTTTAGACCGTAGACGATAACCAATAATTAAGAATATTGTATGACAACATGAATATCAACAATAGTAAACGGTTTTACGTAATTGGATACCTAATTAATTATTTTAATGATTAACTTACCGAAAAACGTTGTGAATTTGTTCAAACCGTTGAATACAAAAGGTATAGCAGTTACGAAATAAGATAACAAAATGTATAACTAAGTAGTACTTGGACGCATATAACTGATTGGCTATATTTTATACAGCCAATACTTATGATTAATAAGTAATCAGTAGAAGAACCTACTAGAAGATAGTACGCTGCCAAAAACGAAGTACGACGCGAAATTCAAGCGCCAACTAAGAACAAAAAAAAAGACGGAACACAAGATGAAAATATTTAAAATGCACCTAAAGAATTGATAGTAATACGGGTCCCTAAATCTGACATTACTATTATTAAAATTAAGCGTGAGCTTGAACGGCAATTTGATCGACGGTTAATGTGTACCATGAAAATTGAAGTTCTCGGGATTAAATATAATTTGCCATCCGTATTATCACTAATCATGTTTCGTTTCGCTTTGCATTCAGAAAATTATCACACAACGACGCCAGTCATGGAAGAAAATATTAAATACTTCCAGAATGAAATACATATAATAAAGATACAAATTTTATGTAGGTACCTACATTAAACAAGGACTAGAAAAGCGATTCTCAAACTAGGGGTTGCGACACCATTAGGGGTTACCAGTAATCTTTTTAAGGTCGCCAATACATAAAATAATTAGTGAGCTGTTTTTGTAAATATCAACATGATAATGATTATTAAGAATTACAATTGTTAAAAGTTTAGAATTGCCAATAAAGTTTTATAAATCATATTCATTTATCACTACATTTTAAAGTTATTGTAATAAAAGGATCGCTCAAAGTCGGTGCATCCAAATTGCATGCCAAAAAAATAAATATAAATTTGAATGTCCAAATTGCATGCCACGTCTTAGGGGGTCTGTCCAAATTGTATGCCGTGTACCTCCAAGTTTATTAGTCACTCATGTGTACAACTTAAACCTTATTTTTGAATTTTCTTTTTTTTTTTTTTAACAGATGAGTAGAATCTGATTAGTTTCTAGATTGAAATATTTTTATATCTGAGTAAACATTTTAATCAAGTGAATGTATTTTATATTTTTACGTGGCATTTAAAAATGTAAAATGTATACTAGAATATAAAAAATATTTCAAAGTAGAAACTAATCAGTTGTAACAACCATATCATAAGGAGTTTAAGTTGTGTACATAAGTGCATAATAAATTAATTTCTGGATACACGGAATACCCCTCTAAAACTTGACATGCAATTTACACAGACCCCTCTAAGAGATAGCATGCATTCGGATATTTTTTTATTTTTGGCATACAATACGGATGCAGCCCTCAAATCTTGGTGACATTATAGGGAGTCGCAGCCTCAAAAGATTGAGAACACTTGGACTAGAATAATTATAGTCCGTGGTGTGAACTTAGATAATATAATATTCTATTATATATAGGTATGAGACCACACCCCATAGGAATAATGTAAAAATATAAATAGTAGGTAATTACAAGTATTTAATTTTTTGGAACTTTTATTCAAGATCGATACATATCTATAATAAAATATTTTTATATATTTTTATCACGTTTTAAGATATAATACAATTATAATATTTATAACAAAATTGTAAGCAATCTGAACCATGGTAAACTGCAGTAACCAATGGCGTAAATTAGGTCTTATGGTCTAAGGTTGTGCAGAGGCATATTCTCAACCTATTGTTTTAAAACACCAATCTTTCAATTTCCTAAGTAAAATCCTTTCCAATTAACTATATATTTTCTCATTTAGGTATTTCTTTAAATAATAAATATATTTTGAATTATTTTAGCAGTAAAACATTTATTATTATAATATTAATAAAAAAAAACAGTCAACATTTTTATTTATTTCAAGATGAGACGACGTCATTTTTCCACAGATTCCGAATCGAGTTCACCAACTACTTGGTCAAAATTAATAAGCAATAAAAGCAAAAATAAGCAATAATAAGCAATATGAGGAGCAACTTAGGAATACACAGACGCTAATCAAAGAGCAGATTAGGAATGAAACATTTAAAAAAAAAAAAAATTCGGAGCGGTGACGTATAAACACGTCTTATTTTTAACACTGTATCCTCTAGACTCATCATTAGTAATAATTTATAATATCTGTATATCTGGTAAATTCATTTTTATTTGTAGCAAAACCACATAAAAAACTAGTAGATGCACTACAAAACTATATTCATATTACAAAAACATTATTATTATATTTTATTAAAGTTATTTTTGGCATTTATTAAATCATATAACTCAATTAAAAATTAAACATTAGGTACATTTTTAATTAAAACAAAATCAAAACTACGTATTTAATATAAATAACAAATAAATGTTGGATTATCAACGTTGAACAATTTTTACTTCTACAATGCTTATTAATTATTTAGTAATAGATATTTATATAATTTTAAATTTTCATTAATTTTTAAATAGTTTTATTCGAATGTTAATGAATTCTTATTAAATGTTCCAGGTTAAACATGAAAAATAAAATCTAAATTTAAAGTCGAATACAATTTTTTTTTAAATTTGTAGGTCCAAATCAAGTATAAATATTGTTTCAATCATTGTGATTGACAAATGCTTTGTGTGATGATATAGAGCTGTTTCGATACAAAAGAAAGTTAAAATTTAAATTTAAAAAGTTTTTTTTTTTTAAAAATATTTAATATATTTTAATTTTCTACTTTATAATTTGAGATTGTAAAAAGTATCAAATGTGTAAGATTCACAAAAACTAAAAAAAAAAAAAAAATCTTCTAGTCCATAATATATTATGAGCAACCGAATTACTTCCCGTTTGAAAAAGATATTTTATTAGATTGAGCCGAATTGGTTCCCGTTTGTTTTCAGGTCAAATAGTTACAATTTTAATTTTTAATAACTGGTAGGTTGTATAAACATAATTGGCACAAAGTATACATTTTAATTAGTACTTTGATTACGTTCATGATACATACATAATATCATACAGTACATTTCCACTGAAAATTTGGGCTAGATATGACAAAAACGTTGATAGGACTAAAAAATTGTTGGGAATTGTTCCATTCAAAGCTGAATAACGAATTTAAAAGTGCCCATCCTAATATATTTAATTTTATGGAGATTTTAGTATTCAGACATTACATTACATAAAATTTCGAAGTTATAATATAAGAAAACTTATAAGCAAACATGAAAGAAATAACAAATACTTGGAAAACTGGGTGGTTGAGTAAATTGATGAGAATCTTACGTGAATTGAATATTTAAAGAAAGTTTGCTTCAAATTTGCAAATTAATTATTTTAAATGTTATTTATTATATTTTAACATATGTATTTTGTACATCTAATCTAAGTGATGACTACTAATATAACTAGGTAGTTGACTTCCAAATCAACAACTTTAAATTTTATATATTTTTTTAACACACATATTTAACATACGAATACATATCGTAGATATTTACATTTTTAACAAAATCTACTTTTAAGTTGACAGTACTAAGCCTGTAAAAGTGAGAAGAAAAATTTGGGCAATTAAACGGGAATTAATTTGATTCAACTTAATAAAATGCCTTTTTCAAACGGAAATCTATTCGGCATATGATGTTGGGGCTTAGGAACAAATTCGGTACATAATTTTAATATTGACTATTAAAACTATTATTGACCATAATAATTTTGACTATTTAAATTATGTATCAAATATAATAAGTTCAAGTTATTTGCAATATATATCCCTATAAAGTTATTATTTGCAAGGATCACGTATTATAAATTAATATATATGAATATATATACACACACACACACACACAAATATATATATATATGTCTGTGTGTGTGTGCGTGTGCGTGTGTGTGTGAGCGTGTGTGTATAATTATTAGGGCTCGGAAGTTGATTACCTTAAAAACATTAAAAAATGAACTAAAAAAATTACAAATATTTGTTTTAAATTAATAAAAATAAATTACTTAAATATTTTACTCTATTTTATTGTAATATTCTATTTACATTACCAAAACTTACAAATTACTCAAAATATGACATAAAAATTACAACAAATGTCCTTAAATATGAAATTAAAAAATTACAAATATTTATTTTATAACTTTATTAAAAAAGCTTTAAAATTACTCAAAAATCAAAATAATTGCAATGTACAATTAGAGCGTATTTGATGTTATCAAAAGTAAGTGAACGACGATTATCTTCTTATAATTATTTATATTTTAAAAAATTTCTCTCCTCGTCCACTGAAATGATTGACAGACGCAGACGAGCACTAACCGACTTTTAATTTTCACCATTTCGAATATTGTACCAAAAAATAATAAAATTTAAATATAATAGGTATTATTCACTATGATACAACAATGACACGATGATTGTAATCGACGAGTTAAAATTGGATACTAATAGAATATTAGGAAAAAAATAATAAAATGCAGGTATAATAATATTCACAATATCACGATGAGTATAATCGGCGAGATAAAATGGACAAGTCTTAAGTTATAGGCATAATGGGAAAGAAACGATAAGAAGTGAACTAGTGTGAAATCAGTAAAAATGACTTAAAATGTGGAAAAATTACCTACAAATGTCAAAAATGAATAAAAATTAATAAACACCAAAAATTTAATAAAAATGCTAAACAAAAATTAGTTATTCAGATTCAGATGTTAATGAAACACATTTGTGGCCAAGAGAGCATCGTCTAAAATGTTCCAAAAAAAAAAATGCAAAATGCATCAAATTTCGAGCCCTAATAATTATCAATACACTTTAAAAACATAATAATAATTATTAATTCAATTATGGTGCAAAGGGAATTAATAACCCCGTCGTATACAGTTTTCCATTCAAACTGCACTGATCTCAGGGACCGTTGACGGTGTTGCATGTCGAGGAGTAGCAGCGATGTGCCACAAGGCGCGTATTTATGGCGCATAGATTGTAAACATGGAGGAGAAACAGTGATCATCGATGGTTGGAGTAATGACGCCATTACTGTTGTCATCAGTTCGGGCTCAGCCGCGGCTGGGCCGCCTGCATGATAACTCGATGACGTCACACCGTTTACCGACGAATCACCAACTACGCCGCATTAACAACGACGACAGACTGTCACTGCCGCCGCTTTCGCAGCTGGTTAGCAATAGTCTGCTGCAGCACTACCACAAGCGGCGGACGCACTATCAGCTCTTCCAACGGACAGTGTTGCCGCTACCGGTGACCGGACGGCGGGTACCATTGTACGGTCGGTGGAGTGCGCAAGTGTACGAGAGAGAAATACTCGAGCGTGCGGACCACCCTGCGGGGACGTGTGAGACGTCTAAGCCCCGATCGTATGTGGTGCGCGTGCGAGATAGAGTGAGCGAGTGTGACCGAGCAATAAAGAACCATTAGCGTCGGCCATCCTTGTCTAATGTAATTCAATGGTGGACAAAACCTCCCGATGGAGGCCGCGTAATTTGTAAATATTATATCATAACGAAAAAAAAAAAAAAATATTATCAAATAACACATACCTAATATATTTATTATTTCTTATATTTATTTGTATATGTGTATGTATGTAAAAAGGTGTAAAAATATTTCGTGTTGTATAATTTTATTAAGTTCTGTTCGTTCGTTTTAGTGAGTGTGCGATCGTGAGTGTGTGTCTGTGTGTGAATCCTGTGTGCCGGCTGTACGCTCTAGAAGTATATCGTATTAATATTAAAAGTATTATTAAAAGAATATAAAAAATCATAACAATTAGCATATTATATTGCAATTACAATATTTCGATTAATTGATAGCAGTGTAAAATAATCCATTGGTTTTTGCTGAACGTTTACCATCTATTCCACTGGTTCTACGTTCACCATCCGCCGATTATTGTTACAAGTAAGCTGTTCAATTATTAAATTAAATTTGTTAGCCAAGTACCTTTGATAGAATGTTTGTACAGCTCTGATTTATACATAATAATCTCAACACTTGTGCTATGGTCTTATTGAGTGTATTCTGTCTATAAGTTATACTATTGTTATAACATATTTAAATTTAAAATAAAATATTTTTAAATATTTCAATTAATATAGTTAATAAAAAATAAAGTAATTCAAATTATTATAATATAATAATATTATAATATATTATATATAATATAATATAATATTATATTATTATTATTATTATTATTATTATTATTATTATTATTATAATGATGAGTTCATACATTTACTAGTATACGTAGCAACTATTTTTGGATAATGGATACTACTGTTGATCACCACCTATTTAAATGCATTAGTTTTTTTTTAAATGGTTCAAAATCTACTAAATTTATAATGAGGGAAAAATACTTATCAAATGTTCATGATTAGTAATATTATTAATTATGAATATAATAGTAAATATTCGTTGATTTGTAAATTTGTTGTTTTTTTTTATTTATAAATGTTACTATGTTAAATTTAGAAATGTAACATTTGTAAATATAAAAAAAAACTAAAAATTTATAAATCAACAGATATTTACTATTATAGGTATTCATAATTAATAATATTACTAATCATGAACATTTGATAAGTATTTTTTCCTCATTTTAAATTTAGTAGATTTTGAATTATTTAAAAAAAACTTATGCATTTAAATAGGTGGTGATCATTTATGTCAACATTATGTTAAATTTAAAAAATTTATAAATTTCCAGTTATCTTTGTTATATGAAAGCGTTTAATATATTGTTATGTTATCTTGATTTAGTTTAAATTATCCACTAAGTATTTCATTTAATATTTCAATAACTATTACAGTGTAAACAATTTTGAAAAAAAAAACAGTTCCTGTCATTAAATTTGTTTATACTTCAATTCAATGTTTTTTATTGGAAAACTTGCATTTACTTTTTTTAATTAATTGAAACTGATAATCAATTTAAAACATGGATTTTTAATTATTTAGTAAAATAAATAGTTCATCACCTTATAATCTAATAAAAATTGATTATACAATGTGTATTATGTTATTATAATGTTTTTGAATAGTGTTTTAAATCTTTGGAGATCTTATGTCTATATTCCTACTACTTAGATTTATTGAACATTGTCAGTTTAATATAAATATATTTGTATTAATATCAAAAATATCAAATATATTTTTGATGATATCAGTTGTATTATGGTTTATAATTTTTTAAAGTGTACTAAATTAGTTTTTATAAATTATAACTATTTCCTAATTTGGAAAACTGAAGATTTTTAATCATTGTGTTTGTGTAAGCAGTGATAAGTGAACTTTTACATTCTATACTAATCGTTTAGAAATTGGCACTGTTCAATTATTTTAACTATAATAATCAAAGCAAAAGTAACATTAGTATTGATTATTATATTTTAAAGACATTAATGCATTAAGTCATATAAATAGTAATGATTTATTATTTTTTTTTGTATGCTAAAAAAATTTTCAATGATATTATTTTTCAAAAATATTTTTATTTAGAATTACATATTTGTATATTAAAATAAATATTGAAATACAATTTGTTTATATTGTCTATTGTAATATACAGTCATTTTGTGATTTATTTTATAGTTGAATTAAATTACCTTTAATATTTTTCATTGTATTTTTCTTCTATAAATATGCGCTATTCAATGTTGACCATTTTCATTATTTTTTGCCTTTATTGGTTCATTTACTTTGTATTTCTTTGTACATTTTTATAATGTGTTATATATCATTTGAGATAGCTTAAACAATTTAATTGGACTATATTTTGCTGAGTTACCAGTTTGAATTTATATAATAATTAAGTTTGTTATATCAGTATATTAGTCAAATTTCAAAATAAATCTTATAATTTATACTAGTTTTGAAAATTTTATTTTAGATTCTTTACATTTTCAAATGAAGTGGTTAGGCGCAGGAAATGTACCTGTTTCCAGCACAAATAACACAGTGTTGAATAACAATGGTAATCATTTGCAAGTAAGTTATTATTGATTTTAATGAATAATTATTCATTATGATTTTAATTATTTTTCTACTTTTCCCAGTAAAAATTTCATATTTTTTTCGTTCCTATTGTATTTTTTTCTAATATTCTATTATTCAGCATCTATTAGTCCATCATAATTCATTAACATATTTATTATTTTATATATTGTATGGAAAGTGCTAGCCTTTGTATTAAATTGTCTGTATTTGTATTGCTCATTTTTATTTTTTTTTTGTTTTAAATTATAATTAATTGCTGTGCAATATCCAATAAGATTACAAAACTAAAAAATAAAAAAATTTTATTGAAAAATTGTAATATTTTATTATTGTAGGAACATCAACAACAAATAAATGAAAACGAACAAAGTGGAGACAACGTATTACGACAAACAGTACAGGAAGAACCAATTATCAATTATGTATTTGACTGTGCTTCAGGTGAATCACAAGAATATGGATTACATTCTGCACCATTGCCATCTAAACTGCCACAGCCTAGGTGGCCAGCATCTTCTGAAGACTGTTTTTTAGAGCAAGTGAGTTAATCTAAAAATTTTGTTATATTTAACTGTACTTAAGAATATAGGACAAAAGTGAGGTTTTGAGGTATGATTGGCTATTATTTATGTTTAAGATGCAGGAGAAATGGAAATATTTCTCTGCCAAAATGTCTCAACCTCCACCTCAGATATCTGAAGTACCAAATGTACAATATCAGTTACAACCAATATTAGTAAAAGTGAGAATTCATTAGAACATTTTTACTGCATATATACATTTTTAAATTGAAAAGTTTTGTTTTCAATTTTATTTTTGTATTGCACGTTAGATGGGTAATGTTTTTTGTGGGAGGGAAAGGATTGATATGTCATTATAAGTGTATTTTTTTTGACACTAAATTTTAAAACCTATTGAAAAGGATATCTGCAGTTATTATTTAATTTTTAATTTTTATTGAAGTATGCTATAGATAAAATGAATTTAATCAATTGTTAAAAAATGAGACTTTTAAGTTAATAATTTATATTTGTTGCTATCCAATTGCCATGTATTGATGTGTAGGCTCAGCAATAGTTTAAATATTAATATAAATATTGAAGAAGAAATATTAAATATTATTTATTATTTTTATTATTAATTTAAGCCTTGGTAACTATAGTTATTGACTGGTAGTGATATGATGAGTTAGTAGTAGAGTAACATTTGGACTAGTCTTTAGATTACATATATTTGAGAACATGGCTTTTTTGCTAAAAACTTGGAATTTATCCAAAAGCTTATACCACCAGATGGTGTTTAATTGCAGTACTCTTCAGTGACTTAGACTCACCAATGTACCATACCTGACATAACCATGCTGCTATTTTATATTTATTTAATACTACAAAATAATTAAATATAATAAGTGAATCTTATCTTAATATATTATAAATTTCCTATATTAATGCTTTTTGGATTTTTAATACAACATGTTAACACTAATTGAATAAACCATATCTTTGTGCACAATTCTGTAATTTGAATTCTGTTTCTTTGTGTGTTTTTATTACATAAAAATATACATTTTTATGACCTTCAAAGTTTTTTTAATTTAATTAGACAAACACATCCATAGTATAACTTTTTCCATGGGTTTTATATCCATAGAATTTCCATAGAGTCTTGGTCAATTTTGGACATAGAGAGTCGGTTAAACTACTTAGTGGTTAGAATAAATTTTTTTCATTTAAGAAAAAGAAGTTATACTGCACATGTGCATGTCTAATTTAGTTTAAAAAAAAAAAAATATTCAAATTGTAGGGCTCTATGTAAATTGTTCTCAATTAGCTTTTATACAATGTATTTTATATTTTTTCATTTGATGAGTAAGTAAAATATAAAACCATATTTATAGACCATCTATATTTTCTTCTATGATAATGTCTTAAATTAAAAATTGAATCTATTATTGTTTATTTGTACAATTATTGCTTTAGTTAAGACATGAGCATGCATTTTATATCTTCTAATTATTATTTTGAGGTATTTGAGAAAGTAGTTTATCAAATTTATTATATATATTTATACATATATGAAATTCATGTTGGATTTTAGTATTTTAATAATAACGTTGAATAAAAAAAAAGTTGATGGTATGTTATAATTTATAGTATATTTTATAGATTATAGATAATTTATTTAATTAGTATTGCAAATTAAATTTCAATATACATTTATGTTGTTTTTATAATCTTATTAGTCTGGAGAAGGTGGCACAGAACAATACGTTTACGGAGCGCCTCCAGGATTGCATCCATATCAGCAGCATATGGCAGATTTAGCAAGTTCATCAATGGCACATAACTCAGCCCATGCAATTATGTCAACACAACAGCAACATACTATGGATTTACATGTGCGAAATGGAGAAGTATGTTCTTTTTGTTAATATTTTACACTTAACACAATTATCTGCACTTATTAATTTTGTTATTATGATAAACAAATTTGAAGGTTAAAATAAATAATAGATATTTAAATTTATATATAATTAGACCTGTACAAAACAGGTGCTTTTTCAATGAAAATATCTCTTGGATGAAAATTGTATTTAATTCACATTTATATTGTAGGTCTTATTCTTTAGAAACTGAAAATATGGGAGGGGGAAAAGCAAGTATAATAAGAATGTTGTAAAAGTTTATTTTCAGCTAATTATACTACAATCAACAATATGCATTAAAATAAGAATATATTAATTTGTTATGTAGATTGATGTAAACAAGTTTTTACTGTTGTTAATTCTGTAGAAGTATTGTAAATATCGTAACAGACATAGATTAGGATTATGGAATTTCAGATTATTTAAAGATATGATTTTATTAGTGGTTTTTTGGATTTATGGATTTAGTCTACTTTGTCATTTATATAATAATTTTAATGTTTTAGTTTATGCATAAACATTTGTGTTCAATCATTTATATTTTCTATAGTTTTGATTTATCATCGATCTATTTCATAATTTTGGTTGAGTATGTTTCAGCTAGCTGTATATTTAATAGTTTTGATTTATTTAGTTTATTATTCCAGATTACATTAGAATAAATTATGTTTATGTGAGTCATATTTTAAGTTAATATAAAAGAAACTTGTATGTATTATTTAGAGAATTTAGAACAGGGGTGGCCAACCCAAATGATCTTGTGGGCCACTTTGGAAATACATTACGATCATGCCGGCCATCTATAAAATTATATTAGTAGTTTGCCCCAATACAAAAAAATTTGGAGTAAACATTTTAAATAGGATTAATTATTATTATAAAATAAGTTTTAAGAATTTCAGAGAGTTGATCCTTACATTATTAGTTTGTTTTTTTGGTTTATGGATGAATTCTTTAAGAGTTCTATTTTTTTTTTTATATTGTACTAAGTATTTCATTAATATGATCTCAAATTGGGATGATTTTTATTTTTACGTAGTACTTGAGTATTGTCTTCTTTGAAAATGAATATTAAATATATTTATTTTTTCATTACAGTTTTAGTATTAATTAATTTAGTTTCTACAAACTTAAATTCCAAGTAATTATTAATGTATTTTTTTTTATTACTTAAAATCACTTTTTTCACAATTTAGATTTCACTTTTAAATCAATTGGAATTTTTTTTTACTTATACAGGCAATACATTTTAAATTCCATTTTTTTAAAGTAAAGTTTATTTTTGGAAATTTGTGCTTAAAATATTTGTTTAGATTTTATAAATGTTTGTCGAAATTTATAAAAAATTAAAATATGATTTTATATAATTAAATTTTATATCTATATGTTAACAACATGTATCCTAATATTCTAAATTAATTTACCTAAATAATATTACGTACTATGTAATAATATTGTTTGACCTCACAATAGTTACAGCCTAAAAGAAGAAAACTTTAAGCTTACCCTTCATATCTAGATAATAGTGATAGTTAATTTTATCATAGAATCTGATTTTAGGTAAAATGTTTTAAGATTCATTGAAGTATTTTCTCATACTCAAAATTTCGTGTTATAAATTTCTTAAAAATGATCAAATTGTATCTCATAAGATAGTTAATTGGACTCTGGAGGTTTTTATTAATTTATTAATTTTTTTTATTAAGTTCATTTTTATTAAATTAGATGTTATTAAAAAATTGTAAGTAGTGAGATTTAACGACATTTTCCCAACCTCTTAAAATATATTTTTTATTAAATGAATAGTGTTTTATTTATTAACTATAAATATTTCAAAATAACTTTTTTAATCATTTTCATGGAATATACATTTTTAATTAAATTATTTCATCAAAACATATAATTTATTTTTATTATTTTAATTCTAGAGTTTTTTTTTTAAAGATTTTGCAATTGCAAATTTATTGAGATATCATGTTTCTTGTATTCATGTTTGGAAAAATATCAAATTTATATTGTGACAGTTTTATTGATTATGGCACAATAAAAATTAGTTAATTAAAAATAATTCAATATTGTGTTTTATCAACTAGAAATAAATAATTTTCACATCATTGATATTATTATAATTTCAATGGAATATGTTTTTTTGCTTATTAAGTGATACAAAATATATAGAAAATAATTTTAATTATATAATATTACATTTTAATCTATAATATTTATAATAATGAGATACTATGTAAGTATTTAATTAATTTAAGTAATACTTCTAGAGTAGATAGCCATACGGAAAAAATAAACTAGAATAGATATTAGATACAGTTTTTAGAAGAACTATATATTTTATTTGTAACAAAATTAATTGTTAGTATAATTTTGGCTAATATATTTTTGGTTGACTTAGAATACTTTTATTTATATATTAAATTATAAAATGATTATTACATATAAGATAACCATTATGTATATATTACACGTGAAATTTATATTATAATCATTACAAGTACTTTGAAACCATTGAAAATAGCTCAAGTTCATATTTTATAACATATTTGTACATAATATGTATAATTATCATTCGTAAAGTCTCAATAATATTAATATAATGTAAGCATAGTGTTCCATAAATTACGTCATAGCGTTATTATTTACAGTTACCGTCGTAATAGAATGAAGTAGTTTAAATTTGTTCTCGATAAATATTTTAAAACGTTCAATTTCTTTTGCTTTGAAAAATTAATATTACAATAATTGTAATTATTATATAATTGAAAGTATAGTCTCTTTAAGTTATGCGACAAAATTCAATTTTTACCGTTACATTTCTATTGTGGAGATTAGACCAATTATCAGAAATAGTTTAAATTTTAAACGTGTTTAAACAACACTTACTGTATTGCTAATAATCAAGCTGTGTATTTCGGTGTGTGATTAGACTATATTTATCTTGTTTTTTTACGCCTAGAAAACAATTTCTACTGTCCCTTGTTCGTAAAATTTATATTACCCTTATCTGTTTAACTAGGATTTTGTCGTAAACTTAAATATCGTCTCACTGCGTTATCATAAATTTACGCTCAACGGTCAGCTCTGGATTCGGACGTGTGAAAACACGTGCATGTGGTTTGTCTACCTGTTGTAGTGAGACGTCATAATCCGCTTGTCTGTAAGCGATCGCTACTCTGGGGTTCAGTGGTGGTTTTATGGATGGGGCAAGGGAGCCTGAACCTCCTCAGGTCCTGAACTTAGTCTGTGGTATATTATTTGCTCTAGTTTAAAATACTATGTTATGTTTTTTTTCGTCAGTAAGAATTACATTTTAAGTACTTACCTAATAAATTATTAGAGGGTTAAAAGTTGTTGTTTTAATATATTATAAGATAATATTAAAGGACTCCCTCCCCCTCAGAATTTTTTTAAAACTGCCATTTCTGTTGCCGAATATTTGTGAAAATATCGAAAAGATGTGTTTTAATATATTTTGAGAGGAAACAGACAACATAAACCTGATGCTAATTCGCGACTCATCGCCCTCGTATATTATTGTTATTTATTTATCGTATATTATTAGTACTTTTAGGTTGTTACAGATGCACATAATTCTTATATATTGTACACCGACGAGCTCGTGATGGGGGTGAAGCCGTAGCTTGCGTGAAAATCGAAATTTCTGACCGGAGTGATCAGTTACCGGTGGCGGCGGCGGAGGTAGTGTTCGCCACTCATGTGTTTGGAGGAATAAGTATTCCGCGGTGTCGGCATGAGTAGCGCTAGCGGATGATTGGGTGGTTGAGCGAGCAGTGGGGCGACCGGCAGGCGGCAGCCGCTGCCGCAGCTACCGCGTCAGCAGTGTGTGTCCGTGTGCGCGTGCAAAATGTTGCCGTTTTGGCATGTCCGTTAAAGGAACGAGTTCGTTGCAATTTGTTATTATTTACTTCTATCGATTGGCCGTACACATTTTGTACGCTGATAATAATATCGTTCCTTTGTGTAAATAGTGTATAAAATTAATAAATATCTCGTGTAAATTGTTTGTTGTCGAATCCGTCGCGTGTGCATGATTCACGTTGACCACAATACCATGAAAGACATGGGCACGGACATGGTGAGTAATACTGTATAGTATTATCGATACGTCGCAGCAACAGTTATCTGTGGTAGTAATAGCAACAATAGTAGTTGTTTTAGGAGTGTGCTTCAGCGACGGATGGGTCTGCGTCTAGCAATCATGTCCTGGCAGCAGCGTGCTACTATTTATTTGTCGTGCGTGTTTTATTAATACAAGTGTGTGTGCGACGCTCCTGATGTGTTGTCTAGTCACTGCTTGCTGGCTGCTCGGCCGGCCGGCCGGCCGGATGCTTTTGTTCTCGAGCGCGCGTTTACGCACAGAACGTTCCCATACGGCCGCCGTGATGAGTGCGTGTGGGTGCATGTGCGCGCGCGCGTTCTAGACCGATTTTCAAGGTTAGGAAACGGTGTTGCGGCGAATTCGCATTGTCTATGCGTGCGCGCCACAAGGTTTGGCACAGAAAATGTGCACTAATATCGCCTGCCCCGACCCCTGAAGTACATGTTATTGTTCGAACAAAGACGAATTTAGTTCGTTTTAGCTGACGCTCTATCACGTTTTACACACTATTTACGATAATTTACGTCCGTTATTTTCTGCGAAAAACGCTTGTAAATCACGTATGGCTTTCACGAATATGCGTTGGCGCGTGTACAAGCGGCGCAATGTATTCTTATAAATACATAACATTCATAATACGTATATACACTAATCACACATGATACGCGCCGTATTATTTGAGGTTATGATTCCATTGTTGTGTTGTGTATACGGCGACGGGTGTTCGTCTGCAAGTAGTGGTAATGCGGTGTGTTATGTGTGTGGTGCACCTTTTGCTTAACGTTTTTTACGGTCGTCTGGCCTCATACGCATGTTTAGAGGGTACCACGAGGGCCGGTCGGTAGTATTTGCTATG